TCGGGACAGAGCCTCGTCGATGGTCTTCTGTAGCATAGTCTGTTGTGTAGCCGTAACCTCGGCTAGTCCGATTGTGGCTAATCTCGGACCAGCCTCCAAGCTAGCTACTTCTAGCTCCATTTTGGCCTGCGATCCCTTGAACAACAACGTGTTATCGTCTGGATCAAGTACCGCTCGGAACAACCTGATGAAGTTCACTCCTAAAATACATTCCTCGGCGAGAGTAGGGAGGATGGCTACTCTCGTCGGCATTGTTAACCCTCCCACGGTGAATGGCAACAGGGCGTGACCAACGATCGTTACCTTACGACCGTCTGGTAGTCCCGCTGTACCCGCGTGGGTGGTGTTCAATCCGACGCCCAGCATAGACGCTATTTGTAGAGCGTTACTTCCCATGGCTGTGGTGGAAGCTCCCGGATCATAGAGGGCCCGTATTTGGAAGTCCCCTATCTTCACCGGTAACCACCAACGCGTCTCCTGTTCCGGGGAATATCGGGAAACAGTTTCGACGGCTCCACAGCTTAGCTCTTTATTCCTGATAGCGTTAACCACTGTGCTGACGCGTGGTCGAGCGACGGCACTCGTCGTCCAAGCTTCCTTGGTTCGGACGGTCGGAGTCTTCTTGGGGCTTCCTTTCGACGACTTGCGCGCCTTTACCCGTGTCCTCGAGGGCGGGTGCGATTCTTTCGTCGCCGCCTCGGTTGGTCCAGGGTTGCTGGCTTTACTAACGTCGATGCCCTCATTCTCCATGTGCACTCTTCTGCCACGCTTATCTTTGGCGTCACTAATGGAGTTCCCGCTCTCATCGCCCAACACTCTCGCTGCTAACAGTGTGGGCGGTGTTGGCGGAGGCTGCGAGATCTCTTTGACGGGGTTTGGGCTACTGGATTGAGGAGTGGGATCAACCCCACCTATCCACTCCTTTGCTCGTTTCCCTTGTTGCACTGGGGACAGAACTTCCTATAATAGCCCAGTAGGCCACACTCGTGACATTTGATTGGCCCTGAGAATTCTCTCCCTCGTTTGCGGGGGGTCGCTGGTCTCTTGGATCTATCTTCGGAAGCCAGGTTTTTGTCGTCGCGAATATTCTTTATTTCCGCCGACATTTCCTTGATGGACGACAGCAATTGGTTAAGTACGTCGGTGGGAGGAACCTTTTTCTCACCATCGACGGCTTCTAAACTCGGATTAGGCGCCGCCCCCGAGGGCGTCGGTGTATAGACGACCTGGTGCGTCACCTTCTCGAGTACCTTCTCCATGCGGTCCAATCTGTCGCTGACTTCCGGTTTGTCGCCGGACATAGATGCAACCTTTCCTTTACGGCCCTTGCTCACGTCGGTGCGGGGATGATACGCCATCTCAGGATACAACGTCGACTGAGGGTCCGGTATCGTCCGCTCCATCCTTCGCCGATGTAAGTTATTCTGGGCCGTCATGGCTAGGTCATTTAGGGTTCGTACGGAGTCCACTTCTGATCTCCGTATTTGACTCTGGATTTCCGGGAGCAGATTGTCGTGTAATAGGTCCAGCTGGTTCTCGTGTGACATTTTGGGGTTCAGCCGATTCATTAGGCCCATCATGTTCGCGATGTAGACGTTCGCGGGTTCGTCTGGGCCCTGGTATCGGCCTTGGACCTCTTTCGTCAGACGCTGCTGTTGTTGCCTGCTGGTCCCAAACCATGCTCTGGCGTCCGTCTCGAAATCCGCGTACGAGAACCATTCACTACGCATGGCCTCGTACCAAACGAGGGCGGGACCGGCGAGTAGCTCGGATACTGCCAGGAGCATCTCGTCCTCTGTAAGTCCCGCGCTGCTCCTCGAGCTGTCCAGCCTTGATAAGAAGGTATCAATGCTTGCATTGCCTTCTCCGGAGAATCTGAGCTTCCATCCCCTGACGATGCGGCCGACGTCTCTTGTAGTCGACCACGGGTTTGTCGTCTGTTGGGATGACCACATGCTCGGCGGGTGGTTATCCACTTCAGCATTAACTCCACCGAGTTGATGCTGTCCACCCTCTCCGAAATGGGGCGTCCGGCGGGGGGTCCTACCGGCGGCCCCCGTGGGCCTCAGTCCGGGTCCGGCTGGAGTGCTCTGGGGCAGCCTGGCGTCGTAATGGCATGTGAACGTATCTTGAAATGCTACGCTCCTACGCGTGTTTTCCGGACGTGGCTCCTCGTTGGAACTGTTCGACTCGTCTTGCCGTGCATCTCTGTGTACGGTCTTTTCCAGAGCCTTAATTCTGGTTGACAGGTTGTCTATTTGTTCCTGAGCCTTAATGTTGGTACTGACAATCTGTTCTACTATATGGGTTAGGTTAGACGCATTTAAGTTCTTTGCGTCTTGTACCTCCCATTTTCTCTCATGTTCCCTGGACCGGAAAATGAGGTCTTGTACCATTACCGCGAATTCCGGCGGGAGTCTGAATTGGCTGCCATCGTCAGCCGTGATAGTAATTTCTTTATTACTGTTTATATTTTCTCCGCCGTCCAGGGCATTCGTGATGTTTATTGCGGTTTGCTGGACTCGCGATATTACGTCCGCACTCTGTAGTAGTTGGGCCAGCGGATGTTCTCCCTCCTGCTCGGATGCTGTGTGTTCCTGGCATATGGATACTATCAGCTCCGAGCGTAGGGCGGCTCTTTTGGCTGGACTGCTGTGTTGGTTGTCGGCTTCCGCGAAATCCGCTGCGGAATAGTCGCCGAGTAGCCAGTTGTGCAGTCGCGCAGCTCTCGAGAGCTTACTCCCGCTTGTCTTGAGCTCCAGCTGGTCGAGGTATTCTTCGATTTCCTCGTCTTGGAGCGTCCATACCCAATTTTCTACTTCGGTCTGAGTGCGGTCCATTATTTTCTGTTAGGTTGCTTGCGGTTGATTTTTGCAAAATTACAAGTATGTTATGCGCGTGCGAGTGTTATTTTATAATTGGTGCGCCGAATTGAGAAATAAAAAAAAATTTTATTTGCCAACACAGGGCTTGATCAAGGGCGCTTATTGGATTGGTTGCCGAGAGATTCTTTGCTCGTCAATACGCAATATAATGATCCTACCTATCAGGCGTACTAACTGTTTGTTAGCACGGTTGTGTGAGTTAGTATCTAAAATATTGTTACGAGCGTTATACGTAAACACCAATAACCGCAGTACATAATATTAAAAAAAATATGCTAACGCAATACAATGTCGAACAAAATTATTCAATTGAAATAATTCCGTTTGAAAATTGCCGGTGTTAGTTTTTCCCCGGGCCAACGGGTATAATATTATTTGCGGCAACTTTCAAAATTCGCTGGTGTTTACGTACTAGAATCTGTCGGTTGCACTCGCACGCGTTCACAGGTTTTGTTTACAAATTTTCGCCGCGGTGGGCCTTCGCAAGCTAGCTAACGTGTTTGTTTATTATTGTGGCCTTCGGTGTCAAGTGTGCATAACAACACTTGACTGCCACCTAAGTCGTTGGTTGACTGGGCGCGAGTTTATTGTTAAGAACCGGTGTTTTGCACTATCAAAAACACCGTAGGTTCTTTAACGTTGGGCGCCATGTAACGGGGTATAACCGTTTAATTAATTAAATCGCGTAATTATATTCGAAAGGACACGCGTATCTATCAATGCTCAATACGAATTCGGGGAGCACGAGAAAGTATGCCTCAGTCAACCTGTAATCATTAATAACCTATTCGGAATTGAGTAGAAGCTATGAGAAATGAGAGAATTAACGAAAACACTTGTTAGTAAGCTAAATCAGATCTTTTATTGTTTCCTCAAAACTCACAAAAGGTCGGCCCGCGCGTTTGTTTACATACACGCTCGCTCATCGGCAACACGCTTTGCCGGTACGCTCGCTGCTCTTTGTCGCTAGAGCCGTTATATACACGCATCGAATGTTAGCATCGAGTTATTATTCATTCATGTAATTCCGAACGCGTAATTAAGCTGGCCAGCTTACCTTACTTATCTGCGACCGGAGAACACTATGACGGGTTGCACAGCACGGAACAGTTAATTGTATTGTTTTTGTTGCCGGTCGCGAACGCGCGCACGTTATGGTTTCGCCCTCGATGGCGAAACCTCATACACACACTCGTTCACTCGTCCTGGCCTCAGGTGATCGGACGTCTGGCTCCTGGATGGCGGTTATCACGGCTGTATCTGCTGTGGTCCTCTCGTCGATCTGATGTACGGTCAGCGAAGGCACGTGGATCAGCGGCGATACGATAGCGAAACGGGCGGACACAACAAAGGTTGATGCTTCACTCGTTCGAATCTTGTCGCGCGCGTTCCGTCTGCTCGCGTGCCGAATTCCTTCGTTACATGTTTTTGTCCCCCCTGGGAGGTGCTGCCCTCACGGACAACAATAAGGTTAAATGATTAGCGCTAACTTGACGATTACCGTCACAAGCTATAGATGTAGTAACTGATAAAAATGAATTTTGAAGTAATCTACTGCATAAAACAAAATAAAACTTGAATATTTTGAATTACTGAGTTTTATTTAAAAAAAAACCTCTTGGATTAAATAGCTTGTAATTTATATTTGCAAAAATTTGTGGATTAATCTAAAAAATATAATTTACGATTTATTTACTTTAATCGATGCTCAACTACTGTATTATTCGCTCGGTATTCAGGAAATTTGATTAATGTTTCCTAATAATTTGTCTAAAATAATTGATTCCATAATAATTTTATTAACACGTAAAATAGCGCTACGAACGTAAACGTTTCTAATCAATTGAATCGAATGAAAAGAAAAAGAAGATCAAAACTATGTGAATTGAACAAACGACCGAAAGATGATCAATTGAAAATTAAATTTTATCGTTATAAAATCTGTAAGTCATTGATGCCGCATATATACTATTCTTAAACAGTTTATATGACTATTGTAAAAATTTTCTAAGAAAATAAAAGGATTTTATCATTGTCCTCAAAAGAAAATATTGGTTACGTATTTTGTGTATAATTGTTTTATAACGTCAAAAACACTCATATTTTATAATTTTATTAATCCTCGTTATTTATTTCATCCAAATTATATAGTCTATCTTTCATAGCAAGTAACATTGACAGATAGCCCCCTGATGACTTTAATATCTGTAATAATAAAAATAGAAAAATTATTTCTTATCATATTGAAAACAATAAAATCGTATCAACGAAAGCACAAAGCTATTAAGAATATTAAAAAACTGTGAATAACACTACCTAGATTTACAATTTTTTTTGTAAATTTTACTTTATTAGTGATTTACCACATCAACTAATAATACTCTGAAGTTATTATTAATATTGTATTATCTATGCCAATTCAGCAATAATTTAGCGTATAGAAAAAGCAAATATCTATTAAATTCCAGGGAAAAAGCAAAGTTAATTCAAATTGTTAATGACTTGAAAAATATACGTATTATACATAATATAGTTTTGTTAGAATATCCATAAATAGTAATAAAATATGTCAGAAGTCTCAGAAAAAAAAGATTTTTAAATATCATTAGCGTTTACTTATTTTTTGACGAATTCTTTTTAGAATAAGAGCATTCATATATAATTGCTGTGTTAAATCATTGTTAAAAACATTCAATATTTACGTGAAACTTACATACAAATAGAAACGGAAGATATATGCAAGCTACAGCTTTTTGAACAGATGTATATACAATTTACAGAACAAACCATAGAACTGCCTTTAAGTATAAATTAAAAAACACCAATTTAAATACACTTACTTTGCAATACAACTCCAAAGAAAAATTAGTAACTTTTCCAGCCGTGATTTGAAATGGCTGCTTTGCTCTCAGAATAATGATCATCAGAAGCTTTGCCTTAGATGCCGGAAGATTGTACCAATCACTGTGATAAGCAGCATTCCAGACTTCCATACTCTACAGTGGTTCAGTGAAATATTTAGTGACTAATAATATAACTTTAAATACATTTTTTACCTCATTTCGTAAAACCTCAGCTACATAACAGTAAACAAATAAACTGAACATGAAACATAAAGTGAAATAAATCATGAAAATAAGTTCGAACAGAGGTATGTCATTTCCAGTAGTTGTTATCTGCAGAACAGACAATTCATTCATAGAAACTGCAATGTACTTATCGAATTCGTCAATAAAACACATAATGCAATTTAATTTTATATACGCAATCATCAATTGTTTATAAAATTAAAAAAGTGAAATTATCTGTTTATTTATTTTTATTTATGTACTCACCATAACGAGCTGATAACCCTGCAGACAAAGTACCATTGAAGAGGCCATCATTTGTACAAGGAACATAACGTTAAAAGCATTTTCAATACTTTTAGCAAATCTAAATGTTACATTGTTAATAGAATTTCTTTATTAATTATAGTTATGATAACTATTGATTGACATAGTATATGATATAATCTGTGGCGCAATGCACTATAGAATTATGCGGATATTCACCTATCAAGATACTGATGCCTTTCTATGATACGAGAAAGACTTGCCGAATAAGATTCTTCATTTCTGACGTTAACCGATAATAAAGATAAACTTTTTTGGTTTTCTCTCAAATTGTTTAATTGCCCACAAAGGTGTAGCACAAGAACAGCAAAAAAAGCATCAACAGCAGAAAATGATGAAGCCGCAAAAATAGTTGAAAAACATTGAAATATCCATATTATCTCAAAATGTGGACTACTCTGTACGTCATAGAAGAAATCAGCTTTCAAATAAAGCGGTCTGAACCTTTCCGTCACATTGTTTTCTGGTACAGTCTGCCACTTGTACTCACTGTAACTGAAGTAAACAACCATTGCAAACTGGGCGATGATAGTCCCTTCTGCCAAAGAAATTATGATGATTGATATTAGTCGACCAAGTCTGGCATTTTTCCACATAATATGAAGCTCTTCTTTTGTTTTCAATGATTTCCAATCATTAGACATCGATAAGACAAGTTGACTTAACACTGCAACACAGTGTTTAAGTTTTGTTGTGTCGTTCATTCAAAATAAACACATGTGTTATGTATTTTATATTTTGATAATTAAAAACGTAATAGAAAGATACTTACTATCAATGTTGTAACGTAAACCTAATAATTTAAAAAGTGCAATTCCAATTGGAATATCAGATGTAGTCAAGACGTCTAGAACGGAATTTAGATCACCCCAAACTTTAATTACTGTCACCGATTGTGGAATGTTGCAAAAGCAAAACATAACTAGAGTTGGTATTAGGAAGTAGCTGTGGGAAATCCAATCGCGTTTTCGTTTTGGATCTGGATAAATACCGAGAAATCGCAGAATTCCTCGAGAAGGTCCAATTTCAATATCAAAGCCTAAGATATTTTAACGAGAAAAGAATCACATAACAGAATATTTCGATTTGTGAATTATATATTTGTAATGTAAACTTGAAACTACGCTATTAATGTTAAAAGATTGATAAGAAATACACATTGACTTTAAACATAATAATTTTGATACTATACTGTTAAAGGTTTTAATTTACCGCTGGCTTTCATGATGTGATTTTTATTAAAGCAACTGTCAAACTAACTATTTTTTTTCAATGCCTCACCATTTTTACAGCTATGTTAAAGATCTATACTGCTAGTGCATTATTGTTGAGTTTGAATAGCTGCTTCAAACACATTCGCTTAGCTGCTAGTCTAATTAAGACTCATTATAATGTACTTAATGTATGGCTTCTTTGCAAAATTGATCATTTTCGAAGGGTCTTGTGATTGTGGACGTTTTTCCCGGTAACCGCAGTACACATTTTCATTACTACCATTTGTCGTCAATAATTAACTCAAACATGCGCACTTCAACAGTGGACATCTCATTATCGTTTACTTCATTTATGAGTACATTGAAACGAAATACCGCTTGGATATTTTCTTCCGATTCTATATGCATCGACCAACACGTAAGATAACACACACACACACACACACACACACACACACACACACACACACACACACACACACACACACACACACACACACACACACACACACACACACACACACACACACACACACACACACACTGAAGATAGAAAACTGTAATGATGGCGTTCATGTACATTAGCAAGTACCTTTAGTTCCTTCAGTTAAGAATAGTATAAGTGGAAAAGATCAGAAAAAAATAAAAAGATAAAAGAGTATTAAAAAATTCACATAGTTTCGATTTGATTTCTTCGAAAACAATTTAGATAAAGTGTGCATTTTGTAAAAGTTTAAACAAAAATAGTTAATTAACAATATTGCGTCTTTACGCGAATCTTTTCGTTAAAGGAAACACTGACTCTCAAATGAATGATACATTTCTCTCTGCCGAATGTGGTTATTAAAATTATTTTTGTAGTTCAAATTTTTGAAATATTTCTAAATATTTTTCTAATATTACATTAAATACGCATGTAATATTGCCATAATTTTTATAAGGATGGATTCATCACCTAAAGTTATAATAAGTGATTAACTGAAGTTATTATAGAAGTTCAATTGGAATTTTTTACAGTATTTCCATTATAATGAATTGATTACTGTGGCAAAGTACCAAGTATTAGGGCTAATTTACAAATTGTGAATAATAGATTTGTCATAATTTATGAATAGCTATTAGTTTTCTACAACGTTTTGAAAAATGTTTATATCTATTTGAATTTCAGATAAAGAGGAAAGTAAAATGAATTCTATCGATAACTAATCGCATGTTTATACTGTATTATCTATTATTTTTATATTACACTACTTTCATAAATATTAACATAGATTTGGCGAAACTTTCATTCACTGGATAATCTATCTCGTACGGCAAGTAACATCGACAGATAGCTTGCTGATGTTTTCAATATCTGTAAAAATAATATCTGAATGTTGTGCGGACCAAAAATAAAATAAATTAAATAGTTTATAGTAAAGAGTTTCTTTTTTTTTTTTTTCAAATATTTAAAGTCAGATTCCATATAAGTATGTTACCAATAGCATGAGCTCATGTGAGTTTTTTGTTTATGGATAAATACAAAATGCAAATCCTTATCAAGCTAGCACCGATTATTAGATAAATCTCAATTTCATCGATTTAATATAAAGTATTATTATCTAAAAGTAGATCCCCATTTCCATTTTAAGAATCTGTAACATTTTTCTAATTAGACTGATTGTTTTGCATTAGAAAATTTCTCTTACAATTAACATCGACATATTGCATAGTAACCAACGAATATATGTTTTATCACTTTTCCAAAAATAATAAGTGAGGGCTTTCAAGACCTCAGATTTGCATATTGAAGTTTACAAAATGCATGATATTACTTCTCTAATCAACGTATTTTAATACGTTGATATACGTATATTTTATTAATTTTGCAATAGTTGTGTTGCATAATACTAACACTGCAATATAATTCCAAAGAAATATCTGCAAATTTTCCAGCAGTAATTTTAAATGGTTGTCTCGCTTTCAACATAATCATTATCAGAGGCTTCGATTTTGCCACAGGAAGGTTATACCAGTCAATTTCATAGGCCGCGTCTGCAACTCTCGTACTCTGAAACATTATATTTACTGAAATACTTCATTACTATACTACATAAATTATACAAATTCAATTGTTACCTCTTTTCGCAAAACTTCAGAAACGTAACAGTATATAAATAAGCTGAACAGAAATAGAAGTGTAAACCATATCATAAACATAAGATCTATAAATGGAATTCCATCTTCTGTACTTGTCAACTTTGAAACAATAAATTCAAACCCAAAATAAAATAAAAATTAATTTCTTATCACTAATTAATCATATTATAATTAATAAAATATATTACTTCCATCTAATTTCGTTAGAAAATAATTTTATTTCAATAAAAATAATAATTAATAATAGTAATATGCACAATTCCAGTACAAATTAAATTTTCTTACCATAACAAGTTGATAACCTTGAAGACAAAGCACCACTGATGAAACTATCATTTGCACAAGAAACGTAGCGTTGAATGTATCTTCAATATCTTTTGCGAAGCTGCCAATATAATTGAAGAGATTTCAGTATTAATTGATTGAATAAAAATGAGAATACTAATTCAAATAGAATATTAACCTTTCAAGATATTCATATCTTTGAACAATACGGGATAGAATTACCGAGTAACATTGCCTGATTGAACTATTCGTGGGAGCCAATGATAATCGCTTCATATCTTCCTGTAAATTACGAAGTTGTCCGCATAGATGCAATACAAGAACACCAAAAAAGGCGTCAACTGACGAAAAAGATGTTGCAGCGAATAACGCTGAAAAAACCTGCAGAATCCACGTTATCTCAAACATAGGACTTCTTGACACGTCATACAAAAAGACCGATTTCAGGTACAGTGTTCTGATTTTATCTGTTTTGTTATTGTCGAATTTATAGTATTGCTTTTGCTCGCTGATAAATACAAAAAGAGCGCCTATAAAATATGCGCTGATCGTTGCTCCAGACAATGAGATTTGAATGATGGACATTAGTCGACCAAGTTTAGCACGTTTCCACATTGCTTCAAGCTCTTCTTTAGTTTTTGATGACTTCCAGTCATCAGACATTGATGATGTTAGACGGCTCAACACTTGACATTTTTCAAACTCACATTTTACCATGGTAATTAGAATTGGCATTGATGTGATACACATTTAAGAATAGTTAAAATAATTTTATAATGATCAATAAATACTCACCATCAACGTTATAACGCAAACTTAGTAGTTTAAAGCATGAAACTCCAATGGGAATATCGGATCCAGTTAACACATCAAGGACTGCATTTAGGTCGCCCCAAACTTCAATTACTTTCAGTGATTGTGGTACATTACAAAAGTAAAGCATAACAAATGCCGGTATCAGAAAGTGCAAGCGAGATGCCAAGTTATACTTTTTATTTGGATCCGGATAAATGCCAAGAAATCTCATAACTCTTCGGGACGGTCCCATTTCAACATCAAAACCTATCTTTTTATTCAAAATTTAATTAATTCCAAAAACTACATATGTTGATTTTGTATAGTACGATAATTGCAGAGTAAAAGCAAGGCTAAATTTAAAGTTTTCTAACTAAGTGAAATTTCGGAGAATTTAAATTTGTCTATAATATAAGAAAATACGTTTTACCGTTTGCGAAACTCTTTGCCATAATTTCGATATAAAAGCTAATAAACAACTAACTGTTGTTCAGATATTCTCGCCACAGTTGCAACAGCTCCTTTCTTTTTCCAGTGTTATAGAGACGCATTAACGTAACCTGTAGATTACTTAGAACTCATTACAACGTTCTTAATTCATGGAGTTTTGGATTATTTCTTCAGTATCCTCCATCATCGCACATACTTTTCAAAGAAATTTCAGTGTATGGTTTCATCGCTATAATGTGCCATCAATAATTAGCTGCAACGAGCGCTCTTCAGCATTGCCCATCTCGTTATCGATTACTTAATTCATAATCTTTGGTAACGAAGTACGTAGAAGAGCTACTTTAGTTCGAGCACATTATTCAGGTAAAGATAAAGCAGCATAATAAGAGTTAAATACTTGTATCGATTATTATTTCTTTTTAAGAATGATAGAAGTCCATTGAGTTGCATTCAGTTTGACCTTAGATCATGCAAGAATAGAATAACTATTAAAAATTATGATAAATAGTTAATATTTTTATATTATAAATTTGAAATTTTGAGTAATAGTTGGAAATTTTCGTCCAGGCCATAGCAATATTCATAATAAATCATTAAATATTGTACTTTTTTATTCCGTTTTGTACAATAAAATAATTTATGAGTGCATCGGATGATAGAATTTACTAGAAATATAATTAGATCAAGTTTAGACACGCAAATACCGAACTTATTCACACTATACTAGCTTTTATTTATTGATAGTTGTACACCACATTATACATCACTATTTATATTGTCTAGTTCATAGCAATGTTTTATTTATTCCAGTCTGTCTTCGACATCCTGCAGCATAAACAGATAATTACTCAATTTTCATATCTGCTAACACGCACGGCCACAAACAAAATAATACGCATGTTCACGATAGAAAATTGGATAAAAATTCAGAATTATTATACTCTATAAGAAAAAAAAACCCTTCTTTAATTACATAAACACCGCGATACAATCGTAAAGAAAATTCTGCTAATTTTCTATCAGCGATTTGAAATGGCTTCTGTGCTCTAACGTAATTAACATAGAGGTTTTTCTAGAATACAGGAAAATTTTATCCGTCAATTATTTTATAAGCTGCGTCTTCAAACTTCATACAGTGAAGAAGTATTAGGTAGACATTATCGAAAATTGAATTAAAATTTATAATTTTCAATGCTGACTTCATTACGCAATAATTAAGATATGAAACAGTATATAAATGAGCTGAACAAAAATTATAATACAAAAAGAACGGTATATAAATAATTTTAAAAAGTGTAAATTTGGTGTCTTTAGTTGGAAACTATAAAGAATTCAATATTCATTAACAAGTACAAGGTATTTATATAAATTATTATATCTTATAAGTAATAGTTCCAGGAAAATTCTTCGAGTAGTGCACGTTTTATTGTCGTTAGATAGTATCCTTAAAAGAATGTTGCACTACATAACAGGTATTCAATTTGGTCGTGATAGAATGGATGATTTAGATATTTACAAAAAGTCAAACTGTATGAGAATTATGAAATCATTATGTAGTTTATTGGGTTGAAATCTAAAATTATATTTCTTTATACACCAAAAATATTTCTTTATCCTTACTGCGCACAAAGTATGTCTTGAAACCCGGGTATCAGGTTTCACAATACGCATCTAACGCGCTGTAGATAAAAGAATAGTATATAATTTTTTTGCCACGGGAGTGAAAATGGCAAGCCCCTAGCACGTATTTTATACCTTGGCTTCGTCTCGCATGTCAATTTACACGTGTTATGGACTTGCAAATACTTTCACTCCATTGGTTAATAATGTACAAAATAAATGTCATGCTAAGAAAATGTTCGTTAATGTTTTTTCGCTATATACATATTTCTTTGTATAATTAATTTATAAAAAGAAATTTTTATTGTAAATTTTCAATAAAATGTTTAAGTGACATGAAAGAGAAAGAGCCTTGATCTGCATTTAAGAAAGAACAAACAATAGATTTTTTCGACAACAAAACAAATTTTAATGAATATTTCTACAATTACCATAATAATTTCATAATTTCAAAGGCAAATAACCATTGACTATGATTTGCACAAGAAAAATGGCATTTGAAACATATTATCTTTTAAGGAGTATTTGTTCTTGGATGACACGAGAAATAATCATATACTAAGAGTCACCATTATCCCATTTGAAAATTTTGTATTCGTTAAAATAATAATATTCATCCATCATATTAATTGTAAAATAATTCAGATAAAGAAGACAATCGATGTATTTATCAGTAAAAGGATGAATGGATAAGAGGCATCTATCTACGTTTGACTGATAATGGGTCTAGATGGCCGGTCATGTAGATAAATGCCTTAAAAAATTATCAGCCATTGGCAAGATCCAATCGCAATATCAAGACTTCTATTGTACAATGAAAATTAAAGATTTTTTATTGCATATAATAGCTGAAGTTTCACAATTATATTTCGATATATAGCAATCAAGTCGTTTACCTAAAACTATTTAAGAGAATTTCTAACTGCAGACTTTTATACATAACTTATCACCTTATCTCACTTGAGATAGGTCAATCTCCCAGCTAATAGATCATCAAATCATAGATAATTTGTATTTGTAGATATATTAGAAATAGACAATTTACAGTACATTGTCTTATCCACCTTTATTGTATGGGAGGATTGATTTTATTATCTCCAACACGATCCTCATTTTGCTCGTTCTGCCTTGGTTCCTGCTTATTTCTTGATTTATATTATTATATTTTTTATGAACATGTGTACAACTTGTATACATTTTTATTATCCCATATTTATTAGTATGAAGATAAAGAAATAAATACAGTGCGCTGAAGCTTACTATAACTTTGTAAATTATGGTTCATAATATTTATCGTATTTTTATCTTGCGATCATTGCAAACATATTTATACTTATCCTTAATATCATAATAATATTTCAATCAATATCATTATTCAGTCGATCCTATCTTTTACTGCCAGTAGCATTGACAAATACCCACCCGACGTCTTCAATATCTATAAAAATAAATGAGTAAATAGGTAATTAATTGCGCGAAAGTTAGTGAATAAGACAACGCATGAAAGTATGCATGCATCGTTATCCACAGAATGTTAGAAAAACTCGAGACTTTTTTTGTATTTAAGTAAGGAGAAAACAATTCGAGTTATATGATACTAACACTACAATATAATTCCAAACAAAAATCTACAAATTTTCCTGCAGTTATTTGAAATGGCTTCTTGGCTCTCAATATAATCATCATCAGAGGCATTGCATTTTTCACAGGAAAGGTATACCAATCTATTTCGTAAGCAGCATCTCCAATATCCATGCACTGTGAAAGTATTTGATTAGAACATTCTCAAGTTAACTTAGCATTTATTCAATATTGAATGCTTACTGCTTTGCGTAAAACTTCACATACAAAACAGTATACAAATAAGCTAAACATAAAGCATAGTATAAAATACGTCATGTAAATAAGTTCGAAAACTGAAAGACCGACGCCTTTAGTTGAAATCTGTAAAGTATCATATTTCATGAAAGGCAGAAATGTTATGTAAATACAAGTAGTATTTATGAAAACAATACTTGTCAGTTTGTAAGGATTTTTGCCATAATGAGATACAGCAGATTTTAATGTTTCTATTTAAAATTTACTCACAGGACTACATCGACCCATGGTACAAAAGTTGCACTGTGTTGAATTCAATGTAAGTCATGAATAAAAAGAAATGTTGAAAATGAAATCATTTCGGCATAAATCAGTGCATACATAGTGCAAGAATGATAGTCTTATGCGAAAATATATCCGATTTTTAAATTTACGAATAATAGAGAATAGATAATCAATGTATTCAACTGAATAAATAAAATTAACAATATTCAAGTAACCAGTAGATAGTATCAGATTGATATTATTGTACTCACCATAACAATTTCATAACCTTGGAGACAAATCACTACAGAACAGACTATCATTTGTACAAGAAATATGATGTTGAAAGCATCTTCAATGCTTTTAGCATATCTGTAAATTATTATATGCATAACATTTATCAAGCGATATAATTGTATCTGGAAACCACTCGATCAAGAAAGAAGATTAACCTCTCAAGAAATATGTGCTCTCGAATGATGTTAGAAAGAATTTGATTATAAGAATCGCCATCCCATTTTTCAGTCAAAGACAACGATAAATGTTTAATATTATCCCTCAGCACGTTAAGCCGTGAACAGAGATGCAATACAAGAGTGCCAAATAAAGCATCGGTAGACGAGAAAGCCGAAGCAGCTAAAAACATGGAAACACATTGGAAAAACCAAGTGATCTCGTACTGAGGAGTTTTTTGCGTGTCGTAGAAAAATTCCGCCTTGAAGAAATTCTTTCGCAATAAATGAGTCGCGTTTTCTTCCAACAGAGCGTGTTTCTTATTTTCACTACGAGTGTAGAGAATCGTCGCTATACAATACGTAACGCAAGTCCCTTCAGCTAAGGAAATTATGGTAATGGACATGAGTCGACTAATTTTGGCATTTCTCCACATTATTTGGAGTTGTTCTTTGGTCTTCGGCGATTTCCAATCGTTGAGCATCGTTAAGATAAGTGGGCGCAAAACTTTTTTTAAATGAAAAGATTCGTTATTCAAATTGACATTAACAGAACAAGCTCAAATCAAATGATGAAGAATGATACACACCATAACCATTGTAGCGCAAGCCTAAAAATTTGAAGAGAGCCATTCCGATCGGCATGTCCATTGTTGTCAATACTTTGTGACGGAGAATCTCGGCTAGGCCGATCTCGTCCGTTTAGCTCTCGCAAATATCCGTGCGCCGCGCCAGGCTGAGAGTGTGTACGTTTGGCACACACGCTCATGCTTGGACCTTTTGTTTGCGAGGTGCTGAACACGGGCTGAGCTGACTGCTGGAGCGACGCAGATGGCGCAGAAGAAGAGAGAAAGAGAGAGAGAGAGAGAGAGAGAGTGAGAGAGCGCTCGAATTGCCGATTCGCCGCGGAAAAATTGGAGAGTCTCTGCTAGGCATTGAGCGGAGAAAGTCGCGCGCGCGGATAAACCGAAAGGTCGCGGTTTTTCCGAGTTGGCCTCGCGACCTCGCCGACGTCTTGTTCATTCCGGAGACACGCCCGGTGCGCGGACGAGTGATAGAGCGTGAGGCTGGGTCGCGCCCAGCCGTGTCCCACAAGATACCCGGCACCGGTGCGTGCGGGTAACCGGCGAGGTGCGCGGGCGAGCGCGCGAGGAACGTGACGTGCCACAACAGCGAGCGGGTTGAGATCGAGGCAGCAATATTGCGGAGCGAGCAAGAGGGCGAGCTAGAGGACAGATAGCGACGACAACAAATGTACCAGCGATACGGCCGGGAGCACACCAGTGACGTCACAGTGCAGAGCGCTCCAGCCGTCGGAGAGACTGAAGGTCGAGGTCGGTGCCGTATTTTCCTCTTATCTCTCTCTCTTGCATGTTCGGGCGTCGGTCTGTGGTTGGTAGCACAGCAGACCTGCTGGCTACCCGTTAATGGCCTATCACCGAAAAGTATTTTGTCGGGCATTATTGTAACGGTCTAATTTATAAAGGGAATCGGCAGGCTGATCAGCCGCCGATTCACCTTTCGCGTTCGGATTCATTGTTGTGCCGTTCGTAGTGTATAAGCGCGAGATCGCTGTATTGTAACTCATTGTTGACGATTAAAGGATTAGTGTTAATCCGCTGTTGTGTTTATTCGCCGCCGTATCACTCCTCATCCCGACTTCGAATCTGTGCGCTTAACGTGTTTATGCTCGACGCGTTATTCAGTCGTGGGAACGTCTTTTGCTTCCCGAATCCCCGAATAAATAATATGTGCGGACGGCCGCAAGCAACTCAGACGAGTACGGCCGGAATTCTCCGTTACAACTTCAATGACTTCGTTTAGATCGCCCCACACTTTTGCTACTGTTACGGATTGTGAAATATTGCAAAAAATAAGTATGATCACTGTTGTTATCAAAAAGTGGGCTCGATATATTCCTGCACGTTTTACTAATGGATCTGGATAGATGCCCATGGCACGCATTAGCCATCGGCAAGGTCCGATTGCATGATCAAAACCTAAATTGTTGAAAATTAAAGTCTTATTTAAATCATGCTTTTATTAATCATAATACCTAAGGATTCAAGTGTTATCATGTAATAAATCAAAACTAAATCAAGTTAATTAATTAAGTTATGTAATTTAAGTTCCTTAATTAAACCTTTGAAGCCTTGTATTGATTGCGAATATCAATCAACAACAAACGAAAAAATAATTTACCGTTTTTCAAATTCATGGCAGGGCATTCGATAGAAGCTGTTGCATAACTGGCTATATTTCCAATATCCCCATTACTGTCACAGTTGCTTTGAAGATCTACAATGCTCGTGAATTATTATCGGCGTTAATGGAGAGCTGTTTTCAGAATGTTATGTGCTATAGTCTACAACCCAAAACTCATTAAAACATACTTAATTCGAAATCTCTTTAAAAACTTCATATTGTAAAAGCACCTATTACGACCATTACACTGTTTCAAGATGCTAATGTCAGTATTTGCGTGGATGAGTATTTATCGTCAATTATTAAGTAAAACACGTACGACGACGATCTTGCCACTGTTGTAGTACGTTAGAGAATAGTACCAACTGATATAAAGTTTTGTTTTCAATAATTCAAAAATTATATATAGTGGCAGTGCTGATGTAGTGATTAGAAACATTGAATAAATATCAACTTCTAATGCTTATAAAAGTGAACTTAATTAAATTATTCCTAATTATATAATTAAATTGTATTATTAAAAAAATAATAGTATCCTTGATAATTTTTCAATTGATTGAGATTATAATAGAATACATAACTTTTATTCCATCACTTAAGATCATCTCTTCCAATATGATTACTTACTGTAATTTAAATTTTATATTTGGAACATTATGATTATTAGTCTACTAGAGACTTATATAGGTGTTTTGTCAGGCTAATTTATCTCTTACTGCAAGAAGCATAGATATGTAACCAACAGCAGTTTTTAAAATCTATTAAAAATATCGTAGATAAAAAGGAGTAACTTCGGTAATAAATGTTTCAACTATAATGTACTTACAACACAAAATAAATTCAAAGAAAACACACATAGTTTACCAGCTGTTATCTCCAGCGGTTTTTTTACCCTAAGTAGTGATACAATCAGCAGTCGAGCTTCTTTTGCAGGTAAATTATACAATTTGCAGTAAAAAATTGCCATACCTAACTTTACAACCTGTAAATAGATTGAAATATCTAATGATAATATTTTATTACTAATAGGATATTAATAATGCTAAAGCTATTGAATATTATATTCTTTCGTTATTAATAAGATTATAGAGGTTAAAAAAAGTTCAAGATCGAGCTTATGTTACTCTTTTAAATGATAAGCTGAATCTTAATACTAAATTTTTTTTTTCTCGTTAAAAATCGATAAATATCCCTCTAACTGTTCTAAATATTAGAAAACATGCGAAATTTATTCGATAGCTACAACATAACGTTAAGTTTTTTCAAACGTAAAAAATATTGAGATTACTCACCTCTTCACGTAGAATTTCTGCAATATAACAGTATATCAAAATACTGAATGTGAAACAAACAGTGAAATAAAGCATAAAAATCATTTCCACGAGAACAATGTGTCCAGATGTTATTGTCTATCATTGAAAACATATTGAAAAATTATGTAAACATTCAGATTTTATATAGTATAAACAAACGTACTATCACAAATAGATATCCTTGCAAACAAAGTAATAGCGTCGATAAACCTACTTGGCAGAGAAACATCATATTGAAACTATATTCGATGATATCTGCAAATCTATGAAAAGAAATGGTAATAAATGTTTGGCTCCGTAGAATAGGAAAGGCTTCATATACTTCACTCGTTGATTCGGCGATGTTTCCTAATCAGCACTATCATTAACTTTACAAATTTCGGACCGTTAGTAGGTCCATTTTCTCCTACTTTACTAAACGCTACTCGCAAATTCGTCAACTGTCCACACAGGTGCAATACGAAACTGATGAAAAGAGCATCCACAGCGGAAAAAACTCCGGATGATATGAGAGTTGCTATAATCTGTAGTACCCAAGTGACGTGGAAGTTTGGATTACTTTGAATATCGTATGGGAAGCTACCATGCATGTACAGTGGTTTAATTGGATCTTCATTATTAAAGAGAACGTAAAACATTCGGATGGTGTATGCTAAAGTCGTACCCTCGCCTAATATAATGGAAACTATGGATAGACATCGACTTGTTTTTGCTTTCTGCCACATTACCTCTAATTCGGACTTCTTCTTTGTTGTTTCCCAGTCCTTAGAAATTGAAACTATTAGATGTTGAAGCACTGTTTTGTTTGATAATAAGAATCTTTATATTATTAGTTGTTATTTGAAATTACAATAATTATTATTTATTTAAAAATGTAATGTCAAGTTGACAAAAAAAAATAATGATCGATCTACGTATAAATAATATGAACGAAGATGTGCTATTTACCCTCTTGATTAAAGCTCACGCCAATTAACTTTGCTAGAGCAATGCCAATTGGAACATTGGCAAGAGTGAGAACATTCAAAATTGCACTTAAATTGCCATCCAGTCGAAATAGCAATACTGTTTGTGGTATATTTATAAAAACTAAAATCATGAACGCCGATGGAAAAAAGGCATAGCGTAATATTCTTATCTTCGAGGCACTGAATCCCGGCCAGATTCCATGGATTTGCATAACCCAACGGGTTACTCCAAATGCCGTGTCAAAGCCTAATTTTTAAAATATATACGTATTACTACGAACACATAGCACAGCATTATATTGATTTGTTAAGAGATAATTTTCGCATTTATTTTTTCTTTGCATTCATTGCAATGAGGTATTTTAAGACAAATTATACTGGAAATGCCAAATCACAGCATCTAATTTTTGCTCCTTATAATTTCTCATGCTGTCTATGAATATCTCACCTGATCTTTTTTCTGCCATCTTGATACTTCGGCGTATCTACGTAAGTTTCCAACGTACACATGCCACATAATAATATATGCATAATGAGAACAATTATATTAATTATACAGTATAATTTTATACTCGATTTGCCGGACAGTATTCGCAAAGATACAAGTTTTCTAATTAAATATGAAATACGCGCACTTATCTTTACGTTCAATGCTTAATCAGCGGATTATTTAGCCTGAATTGCCAATAGAATATTCATAAGCATTCATTTGCACATTGTCATTGTAGAGAAACCGCTTATTGCTGGTTGTTCTATCAAGTAAGTTGTATATCTTAGCCTCGTAGCAAAGCGTTGTTTATTTGTAAATTTTTACATTTCATTTGAATGTTGTTAAAAAAATAAAATTTTAGATTTATGTGCATCCGAGGATTGTGGTAGAAATATCATTAAACGTCATAAATTTGTAATATTTTCTTTTCGCGTAAAGAACGATTTAATACATTCTGTGGAAAAGATTGAAGATTTTCCTATAAATGCTACTATAGTATTTGAATAGTGCTTCAATATCACCGAGGCAGGTCATTTATTACAAGTTATCAAGATGTTACGATACATTTTACGTATGAAGAGATTCATGATTGAATAAATTTAAAAAACATTTAATAAATAGTAATAATCTACCTACGTGGTTAAAAATCTTAAAATGGGATAAAAAATATTAATGTGATATTACTAATTAGATTACAGTACAATAAATATAAATTAAAATATTTAATTTTGAATTGAAATTTCAAATGTTAGTTTACGATTAAATTAATTTTGTACGAGGCGTTTTCTGACTGCCAAAAGCATTGAAATATACCCTCCACATTTTTTCAAAATCTGCAATAGAAATTATTTTGTTTCCAAACAATAAAAGAAGGTTTTCACTCGGTAATCTTACACTGCAATAAAGTCCCAATGAAAATACACAGAATTTCCCCGCTGTAATTTCCAAAGGCTTACGAGCTCGACCCATTAATAATAGAAGAAGTCGTGTATTCCTCGGAGACCAATTATACCAATCACATTGATACGCTGCATAGTCGATTTCTGTACTCTAGAACGATGAAAAGTTGAATTCAAGATAAATAGGTAGCAAATATCAGTTACACGAGATTCGTAAAAATATTACTTCAAACTGAAGTCTCTCGGCCACGTAGCAGTAGATAAAGAGACTAAACGAAAAACAACTGGTGAAATAAACCATGTGAAAGATTTGCAATAAAGGCAAACCTTCTTCAGAAGCAGTGGATATCTACAATGAAGACAATTGTTAAATATTAAAAAATAATAATATATTCTAATGAAATCATTAATAAAATAAACAGTTATTTCCTCACAAAAAGTAATAGATAAAAGAAAAAATTGTTTTATCTGATTATAATTCTTTCGTAAACTACGTCGTTAAGTATTAATAACCAATAGCAAATATATTGATCCTGATCGGATTTAATTATCAACATTCGATTTAGGTTGTTGATTTTTCATAGAAGTATATTTATCAAAGATGACAATTACCACTACCAACTGATATCCTTGCAAACACATAGCAAGAGATGTGCCAATCATTTGCGGTAAAAACATCAAGTTGAACGAATCCTCTAAAGTTTTCGCGAACCTAAAAGCATAAACCTCAACCAATCGCTATTTTTTTCTCAACATCAATAATCATTTACACTTACATATTCAAATGATCATGACGATCAACGAGTGCCGCAATTTTTCTGGTAAACTCATCAGGATCCATCTTTTCCCTAGGGTCATTTACAAGCTCCTTCAAATTTCTCTTTAACACTGATAATTGTCCACAAAGGTGTAATACAAGAACACCAAAGAATGCATCTACCGACGAAAAAGCACTGGCCGCGTAAACGGTACACATAAACTGACCGAACCAAGTAAATTCGTAGTTCGGACTGATTTGAGTATTAAATGGGAAGTAAGAATGCATGTAGAGAGGCCGATCATTCTCATCTTTGATGTACACATTAAACATCAGTACTACCATACATTGTGCTGTGATCGTACCTTCGGCCAAAAGAATGCACACCAACGACAGCTTTCGGCTGAAGCGAGCTGTCTCCCACATTATTTCCCAATCTGCTTCTGCGTACATTTTTTGCCAATCTTTCTCCATCAATATAACTAATCTTTTCAAAACTTTAAAACAATATCTAGTGAGCTTTCGAGAGCATCCAGTATTGTGAAAATGATTATGATTTCACGTACAATAAAACTTATAGATTTTGTATTCACAAGTTTTTCCAAATGATAAAAATAAAGCAAAGCTGTTAATGACTATCTACTAATTCAACTCACTGTCTTTGTTATAGAAGGACACGATGAATTTCATGACTGCCACGCAAATTGGAATGTCATCGATGATAAGTATTTCAATCACATAATTCAAGTCACCCCAGCCTCTGAAAACTTCAATTGTTTGAACGAGACACGAGAATATGAACATAGTGGACGTAGACAAAATGAACAAAAACACAGTAAATGGCGTTTGCGGCTTTACTGGATCATGCCAACCACCAAGAAAACGTAGAACAGCCCGACATGGACCGACAGCTACGTCAAAACCTAAAAGAAATTCGAGTGCAGGTAACTTTTAACCAATTATCTTTATTTCGGTTACAATGTATAATCATAAAATGTATTTTTCTTAAAGTTGACAATCCGCAAAAATCACGTTATTTGCGTGTAATTTATATTCGCATTTGATAAAATAAAATTAAAAAGTAAAGTTTTCAAGCTAGACGAATTTTTACTAAAGTTTTGCATACCTGACTGATCCGAGCTTGAAAATATCCCCATTTCGGTTAGCAACGTACTACGGACGTCCCTGTACAGCTATTTGTCTCCCCACCATCAAGGTTTTTGCTCGTACATAAAAGACGTCTAATTACATCCTTCACAGCTTGTTGTTTTGCCGAGCGATCTCATTCTGAGGTTCGACATTTATGAACGATCATATGGCTCCTCGAAATAAAACATCAGCAAAAAACCGTATAAAGAGAGCTTGTGGCTGTTAAAAAAATAATAATACAACTTAGAGATGAGCACCCGATATTTTTGGCACTGAAAATTCCATTAGGTCTATAATTCATGGAGTAATTCTTATACTTGTTATCGCTTAGACCGCTCGACAGTGTTTTTTATTCAATGTAGTAAGGTATCTAATTTTGTTGATTGATCGAGACGTCTACTTTATTTGCTGTATATTCTCGTTATTAGATACTGTTTGGAGTACAGTTCAGAGATCTTCTATTGATGCTATTAATACATATGGAGGTTGCAATGATATGTATCAGAAAAAATATCAAAGTATGATTCTTGAATATCAAGTCATTAAAAAATGAAGAAAATTGTTAAATTAATATGCCGGATTTATCAGTCATATTTAAGGAATGCCAATACATTGCAGTTTTCGTAAGCTCGACTTCAAGCTATTACATATTCTTATACAAAACAAAATTGAACGTTAAAAAATAGAATCTCTATATTTCTCTCTTATCAAGATATAAGCTAAAATTGATTTATTTTCACCGAGCGCTCTGGCAAGCACGTAAAGAGCAAGAGGATTTGTTAAGAGCGCCTGAGAAATGTAGGTCTGCATGCACGTACGCCGTTGTTTCTATAATATTGTCTCGCAGATTTATGAGCAGTCGTTGTTAGTCTAATTATGCTAACTCAGAATCGTAAGCACAGAAATATTCGCTTTGAGAGGCGACAGAATGAGGGAACTAGCATGGATGGTTGCTCATTGTGCTGAATGTTTGTAAACATTGAGATCTGGTAGATAGAAGGGTCACATGTTCTATTTACGTTTTCGATTGCTTCTGATTTTACCCGTGCGCAGATCTATCCTACATTTTGTACGCTAACAAAATTGTACGCTTGTAATGTCGGCAAAACTTGTCGAAAAGAAAAAAACTTGCAACGTAAGTTTCAAGCAAAGCCAGGCGTAGACGTTATCGATGCACCAACAACAAGTACATCAGGCGTCAGAGAAAGGCAAGTAGTCTAGGAACCAAGGTGGATTTCTGAACAAAAGCGTCAGAATATACGTAAAACACGTGCTAGGAGGCACATCGCGAAGTGGTGGTTGCCTTAGCTGCCTGCTCGGCAGGTACAGAATTACAAATATCCTAAGATGTAATTAAAATTCTTCAAATTTTTAAGATCCTGTAAATTTCTCATAATATCAAACATACACCGCCTAATGTCACTGAGTTATTTGATAATTTGTTTATAGCTGCTTAAACAATTAAACTCTTAATAATTAATAATTTTACTGATTACTAATAAGCCACGCTTACGATTTTTATGTATTTTTATGAGTTAAATGCAAATATCTAGAGTGGCTTATCCTAAAAGGTACGGGTCATTAGTTATTAACAAATGGTATGTTTAAATAGCCAGAAAAAGTTCAATGATTATGATATAAATATTGTTCAAAGTACCATACTTTTTTTATCGAATAACGAATATATTAGGTTTTTTTCGATTAACAAACTATTGAGTAGAACTAGAGATGTTGAAATTTAAACAACAAAAAGTCACGCGGCAAGCGATCAACATAGCCGCTCAACTATAAATTCAATATCGAGTTCTGTTCAACATTTTTCAGGTCTAAAATGTTCTGTGGATTTTTTGTAAGATGAAGAATGTATGTATGGTAGTTTACAAAATTTTGATGAGTAGACTAATAAACTAATTATGGCGATTCAAATAATTAAATAGTTAATAATTAATTATCCATACATTTTGCAGCAAGTTACCCTTGAAATTCGGATTCAGAAGCTGAAAATACATAAAGAGCACTTGAGTGGAGCCCATTGTGCCCATCGACCACAAAACCCCTCTCGGCTCGTAGGCTAAAAATGCCTGTAGCACACTCCTGTATAAGCATACTTCATGTTGCGAGCGCAAATATTATTTAGCCATCCTGCACGGCTAATTTAAATTTGACTTTCTGCTACGAGTTGACGCTACGAACTTAATAAATGTGACTTGACTGCCGCTGATTGCCAACTTGGTCTTTTAACGAATTTAGTGTTCACTAATAAATTACCGGGTCGGCATGCGCGTGCGTGTAAGAGCTGTTTGTTTGAGTTGTTATGCTTGGATTGAATTAATATGCCATAATCTTATGAAAGCCGTCCGCACGTCTACATGGACACATTTCATTGACTTCGTTTAAGAGATCATTTTTTATGAAATCCTGTGTGACGATCATCTCATCAACTTTGATTAACGATATAATAATAAGGAACGAGGAATGTGAATTGCATCATATTGTCAAACGGAGAAGCGAAGTTGTGGTATAAGCACGATTCGACTTTACAACAGACTTCCTCAAGTAAAATTATTTCTTGTAAAATTCATTTTTCCCAACGAAGCGCAACGGAAACGTCATTCCCTAAATGATAGAAATCGTGAATGTATAATTCAAAGCAGAAATATAAAAGCGTGTGCGCGGCTTGAAACTGAAAGCTTATTTATAAACACAAAAACTGCGCGCTCTTCGTGCTGTCCATGAGTTTACGCACTCTCGAAAAAAAGAGATAAAAGTATAACGAGGCTAATCCGAATAAACTTATGTAAGCTCGCATCGCGCCGAAAATTTGAAGCTAAAAGTTTATACAATGCGTGCAGCAGCCAATTAAAGCAGGGGGGAGCGAGATTTAAGTGTACTCGGAAGTCAGTTAATGCCGGAAAGTGAACGTCGAAGCCCTCGCCAGTGGCCTAGCCTCATTAGGACTACGTTCGTTTTATCTCTCGACAGATGCAAGGATTAGAATTCGCAGGCATCTCGCCGAGCTACACATACGCTACGTATTATGTGCGCGCAGCGTGGTGGGTGGTGGGGAACGGGGCGCGTGGCTGCGATTTATCACGATCCGATTGTGAAAGCCGACGGTACATCGCGGAGTTCTCCGTATATACCCACTGACTAGACTGAGAAGACGATTCTCTCTCTATGTATGCGCATACGTTTGAATCGTTCGTTTCTTACTTTTTCACCTGAACCTCGAATATCCTGCATGCCCGGGTTTTCTTTTCATCCCGTGTGTTTCGAAGGATGCGACGTGCGAGAAAGTACTTCGTATTGAGTAACACTTCTCAATTTATATAAAAATGAATCGTGACTTAAAGACAGATACGTGCGTAGCTTCTTCGTATCTTACCAATGCTCGGCTAATTAAGTAATAACTCGTATTAATTAAGGAGTAATTTTAATCTTTCTCCGCGTACAATTTCCTCCAAGCCTATGATTGCTTTGCTTGCTTTTTGTCAAACTGCATTCGATATGTATATCCGTATTATGCAAACTGAAAAATCAAGAATTAGATACTTTACTAAATTATATTAATAATCAAGAAAGAAAATAAAATAATCATGTTTGAGCCTCAAATGTAATGAAAAGTATAGGAAGTGCAAATTATTTGATTTCAACCAAAAGAATATTTTTAGTTATTATAATAGATCAATCGAATTTAAAAAATTGCCAGTCCGAGTATTATCAATAGGTGAAAATAGATCATCCATCCAATACCAAATTACAATCATGAATCCCTGCAGGAAATTCGAAGAAAAATCAAGCCAACAAGCGACACTTTATCGACATCATTAGAAGCATCGTCTCCAAGAGGGATTACATAAATCGTATAACGCAAGTAATACGAAGAACCGTATATAAGGTGGCGCGGTTCATAAATCGCAGAGCGCGCACGCGTAAAGTAAAACAAGCCTTTCAAAAACCAAAAAAAAAGTGCTTGGCTAGTCGGCGCCTGCGAGTCGCTGCGCAGCCTGCACAATACATTTTCCCGTGCCCCGAAAAATCGCGGAATTATTGCGCGACTCGCGCGCTCGGCTGCGATTCGTATCTTGCTGGCCTAGCGGCGATCATTAGGACCGTCGTCGACGCCGACGGTAAATCGCGAAAGAGCGCAACACACAACACATGGGGTCACGCGCGAATCGTGAGCTATAAACACGTTGCTCGATTAATTATTTTTTTTCCTTTTTCTGGTCATTACGATGATTAATTTCTAAAGAAATCTTTTTTTTTTTGTGCAGCGGAAAATCCGAGACTTATTTTCGATCGGTGCGCAACATATTTTCGTTTCATATACTTTGGAAGATGTTTGTAAATAAAAATAAAGATGTATTGACGTTAAACCTCACACGAGGACCTTTCTCTTTCTTCCTTGTTCTTCTTTCATTTCAGAAAAATGAAAAGTAAAAGATTACAACCAAATAATTTACGATAAGAAAATCTGAAGGATTGATGCTCACCCGACGGTTTGCGTAATTCTGTATATATAAAATCAACGCAATTGCCTATATACGGAAACTGTTAACTTTATTCTTATAACTTTCTATGATTCGTCTATCCAAAGCTTCTAGGTCATGAACTAGAAATGACGTTAAACAGTTAAATACGATTAGGTTTTACGTTAACTAAACGAAAAAAAAATTAGTCTCTAATTTTCTTCTACGATAAACCAAGTTGTAGTTAATTATAAGAAAAGAATAATACATTTAAAATATTCAAAAACGGAAGGAGAACTAAGAACACGTTAATGACTATAAGGAACTAAGACTATTACGTACAAGTGCTTAGTGTATATCTGCGTTCAACTGTACGTAATTCTTGAAGTAATAATAACAATAACAATGTATTCTAAACGTTTATTACATAATAGTTCAATGTACAAGTTTAAAGCTAAAAAGCTTGAGCTGGTACAATATATTTTTGCGGACTTAGATCTTAGATCTAAAAATCGAACTATCTTGAAATTTGTTGCATTAAGAATTGTTTGCGAAATGCGTAATGAAATGATCGATCATAAATAGTATCTTTTCATTTTTTTCTGGTAAATCTGTCAGAACGGACGGGATGAAGACTTCAGAAATTTTGCATTGTTCTGTAAACATTGGTTATTTATGTTATTGAAATAAACATTACTATCGTGTCAATATACATTGCGAATTCAATAATTTTTCCATTTGAGATTATAATCAAAGCTAAATAGAATATTGCATACCATAGAGCTGAGCCCATTCCTTATCTATAAAAACGGTATGAATAGTATTAAATGCGGTGAAAAGTCCAAGCAGACCGTATTGTTTAAGTTCTTTGGCGAACCATCCAGGTTGTGTAAAAGGCACGAGATCATACCCGTATACATTATAGCAACGAAGACTATGAAGGAAAAAAGTCTCATATTCGGCTATCATACTGTCAAGGTCGACCCGGATATCCTCGGGTCGAATAGATGTATACAGGAAGTAGATAAAGTCGAGCGCCGGAGAGGCGTACCTCGTCATCTGTCGACAAGGTTCATATTACAAGCGGTTTTTGTTTGATAGTATCTTTACTACTCTCATTCAAATTGATTAGGTCTTTACTTGCACAATCCGACAACGAAGTGTTTCAAATCGTATTTTGAAAATTTTCAAAAGATTTCTGCAGCTACAAGAGCTTTATGAAAATTAAGTTGATTACAGAAAGATCATTTAAATATACATCTCTTAATTTCTACAAAGTATTTTTTTGGTACATACGTTAAAAGGTTATCACTGACATAACAATAAAATCAACTTTTTTGAATTTCTTACAACAGATAATCGTTATTTCTTCTAAACTTACCTGGAAATCAAACATCTTGATACTAAAGATTCGGCCAGTATCATTATCATAATGAAACATGTTATCCTTCCAAAGATCTCCATGAGTGATAACCCAGTATTTATCGTTACCATCTTCAGGTATCATAAGGTTCTTCATCGTAGCAACCACGTTATTTTGATAGTAGAGCAAAAAGTTGATTGCACGTTCGACTTTTGGGTCGTTCGTATTAATCGAAAACAAAATTTGGAGCGCTATTGCAATTCCGTTTTCGCAAGAAGTACCTAGCGAAAGACTATCATCATTGGGCGATATACTCTCCGTCAACGGTGCAATCAAGCTTTTAAAAGATTCCGGATCTGCCAGCTTCAAACTCAAAGATTTTGCATGCATCGATGTTAATAGCTATAAAAAATCAATTTATTTCTCAACAATTCGTTCAAATTTATTTGAAATGTAACCAAGATTTTACTTGTAGTACAGCTAAGCAATGGTCGAGGTCGAAGAATCTTTCTATTTCACAGACTTTAAATTGTCTCGCACACAAATCCTCGAGGATTATCTCATCGCGACTTGCCAATATGCACTTAGGGCCGATGGCACCCCAAAAACTTAGCGCATTCTCGTAAACATAAGCCTCTGTCCGGAACAAATCATCGCTGCGAATCGATGCCTTTAAAGTTTCATTTATCACTGGTACCTTGCGGATAAATGTCTTATGGTACACTAAAATGCCAAAACCAATTTCAGTTAATATCGAAGTAGTCGTTATAATTAAAAACAAAAGTTTTTTCTTACTTACAACTTTGGTCACCCAATTTTCCGGTAATTTCGATTCGAGTCATTATTGACTGATAGTTTTTGCCTGGCTCGTTCGCAGTTTCCTTTTTTATATCAAGAATAACAAATGCGTCATCATTTTCTGATTTCTTCAGCAATAACTCAAGCTTTGCAATAAACTCTGCAATGAACAGTAAAAAAGTTCACAATTATTAAATCCTTTTTTTATTCACATATCTTTTAGAATATTTTTATTGTAAGATCGAAATTTTAGGAGGTATTCCGAAATTTAGCAAACAGCCAAGTTGATAACTTATGGAAATGTATATCCTCGCAGATAAGACATCATACAATGATTCTGTTACTTGATCAATAAAAGAATGTTTTGTTTTATTAATCAAATATGTGAAAATCAATTAGCCGTGAAATTTGTACCGTGACAAATACATTTAACTGAAATGTAACTTTACCGCACTGTAATTTTTCTAATAAATGTTTCTCTGTGTATAGATTACAGGATTTCGAAATACTATACAACTGGCAGAAATATATATATTTTACTTAGTTAAATATTTCACATTACTGAGCAAGCAGTTCTATTTTATTGAATAATATCCATTTTTTTCTATGATTTTCTATGGATTTCTAAATAAATCATTTTTAATGAAATGGTAAAAATAACTACTAGCAACTCTTGCAAAAAAACTAAGGTTTCCTTATTTTAACAAAATTTTGCAGACTGTCAGTTTGAGATCGGTTACTTATAATTGCTACATACTTATTGTAAATAGAAATCCTTCTTAAATTAGGAATTTCTTTTGTAGGAAAATGTTTGAAAATGTCTAGATAGATTATACCGTTCTGTTCCTCACATAACCGTTTCGCTACCACTTGGTCTGAACTGACGCTGGGATATGGCCTTTTTAAATTTAGATACATCTCGAAAATTAACCTAATTTCCAACTCTATCAATCACACGGTATGCCAAAACGTTAACACTAGATCCAAACGTTCTTCAAATATAACATGTATAGATTTTTATTGAATTTACTTTACTACTGAGACTAGTTTTCTTGAGATATGACGTCAGCTTCTAGAGAGATTTTGATAACATTTCAAATACTTGAACTGATGATGGCGCTTCAGTTTGATTTTGCATTGTTGAGGAACTAGATGCTTACACTTACACGCACGCACGCACGCACGCACACACACACACGCACGCGCACATACACACACACACACACACACACACACTCAACACTGATATTCTGATAAATCAGGTTTATTTTGAATCTATCAAGTCGATAATATAACCTTTTATTTTATCATAATCAACGTTTTGATTATAGAACCTTTTCGTTCGTAATATTACCGACCGATGTGGTCGATACTTTTTGAGACAGAATTTTAATATCAACTTGATTTTGCTTTTAATAATAAAAACTATTAAACACGATATTTACTTAGATAAATCGATTTTTATGATTACTAATGTTATTTAGCGCATTTTGCGTGCTTTTTCTTTGATGTTGTCCTGTTATTTATTACATTATTTGAATCTTGAAAGCACTCGCGAACATTCTTAAAATTTAAGAGGTTGGGTTTCGGTTTTATATTCTGATAATTAGTTTCTGTTGCCCGCATATCTCTTAATCTATAATATATAAAAGATAAAAATATATTTTCCTATCTATGTTATTCTATTCACTTTCTCTCTCGCCAACCAAATTTTATGACTATATTAATTTCAATATCACAGATGGTTATAAAATTATCGGTGTATACTAATAATTTCAAAATTTAACCTCTTATGCTTTTGAAACGATTTATGAATAGCACATTTCTTGCAAATTATTATCCAGATTAATTATACATCAATTAATTAACTGCTGAAATATAAATATCATACTCCTACATACAGTTATAAATACAAATATTTCAAAGTATACGAAAAATCAAAATTTTGTACTCTTTTTAGCATGAACTAATCACAAAGCTGGATATCAACGACTCGTCATTTTTTTAAAGATAGAATTCGTTTCAGAAGCTATAAAAACCTCGTTAGTTTGAAATATGAAAGAGAGAGAGAGAGAGAGAGAGAGAGAGAGAGAGAGAGAGAGAGAGAGAGAGAGAGAGAGAGAGAGAGAGAGAGAGGCTGTGACAGGGCTGATAGCGATGTTCGCTAGCCTTGTGTGCGAATTATTTATTATTTATTATTTATTATTATTTATTCTTAAAAAAATAATTAGAGGCGGAATGAACGTCAAAAATACAGAATTATTCAATTACTCATCTAAAACTATCCTATCTTTCACAGCCAATAACATCGACAGATAACCGCCAGACGTTTTCAATATCTGTAAAAATAAAAAACAGTCATTAAAATTATAAAAGATAACCATTTTATATTAGAATTCTTCAAACTAACACTGCAATAAAGCCTCAAGGAGAAAAAACAAAATTTCCCAGCCGTAATTTGAAGTGGCTTTCGTGCTCGATGCATCATTAACAGAAGTAGCTTTGTTTCTTCAGGATTCCAATTGTACCAATCGCTTTGATAAGCAGCATAGCCGATCTCTGTACTCTATAAAAACCATTTTTTTCATCATTTTGAAGACATTTATGATTAATAATAAGGAATCGTAAATAAGAAATTGTATGTTAAGATCTACTTCGTACTGCAGTCGTTCAGCAACATAGCAATAAACGAACAGGCTAAATGAGAAACAGCAGGTGAAATAAATCATATGAATCAGTTGTAAAAGTGATAATCCATTTTCAGTGTTACTTGTAATCTAAAATTGGATATAAAAGTATCTTTGAAATTAGAATTTCTCAATACTAGAAATAACGATAACTATTGAGAATCCAAATTATATTTACCACAACTAATTGGTAGCCTTGTAGACATAGTGCAAAAGACGATGCTACCATTTGTCCTAAGAACATCGTATTGAATGACTTCTCAATCACGCTTGCAAATCTGTAATCATACTGTAAGTTCCAATCGGAAAAAGGTATCCGCCACTTTTTTTTCCATTTTCAAAGAAAAATCTTGTCAAATATTTCATTGTAAATTAAATATTACTTATTCAAATGTTCGTGTCTCTCCACCAAACAGCCAATCATATTAATAAATACCCCATCTTTGATATTCTTTCTTGGATCATTTACTAACTTCGACAGAGTCTTCCTCAGTATAGCCAATTGAGCGCATAGATGTAACATGAGTACCGCGAAAAACGCATCTATAGCCGAGAAAGCACTTGCGGCAAAGACGTTGGAAAACAATTGGCCCAACCAAGTAATTTCGAAGTTTGGACTTCGTTGGATATCGTAGGGAAAATAAGACGTCATATACATTGTTCTCTCATCGCTGTCTCTGTTATTCGCATCGAAAACTACGACCATGATGAATTGGGCCGTTATTGTACCTAATGCTAGACTGATGCATACTATGGAAAGCTTGCGACTAAAATAAGCGTTTTCCCACATGATATCTTCATCTTCAGTCGAATATTTACGACGCCAGTCCTCCGCCATCAGAATCACTAGTTTCTTCAATACTTTTTATAGCATTTTCATATATTTAGTATTTGACGCTTCAAAAAGTTATTAAATAAAGCTGATATCTTTCATTAGTGTATAATAGGTTGAGTGTCTACATTTTTTTAAATGTTGTATCATAATTTGTGTAGTCTTTTAAAAATATTTCGTCTATATTTACGAGATGTACCCGCATGTGCGTGAATTACGACTTCGTACAATTAAAAATAAAGTAAAATAAGCATACTAAACATTACTTTTTCTGTTGAACCAGGCAACGAGGAACTTCACGCAAGCGATAAAAATCGGAATATTGGCAGTTGTCAAAATTTCGATCATGGAATTCAAATCACCCCAAACCTTAACAACCATGATCGTTTGAGCAACATTGGCGAATAAAATCATCGTCAGCGTGGCAACAACGAATCGCAAAACAGCAAATATATCCTCCGGTATCTTTGGATCTGGCCAAGCACCAAGAAAGCGTAATAATGCACGACATGGAGCAACAGCAACATCGTAACCTACGTGAATAATTCATTTTATAATATACTATTGTAAGTAACATTCTTTTTTGATAAGTTCTTTTTTCAATTTGTTGTAGGTTCAAGCTTAGCCATTTCAATAAGCTCAGAAATACTGGGAGACGGAATTTTTTCAAACTTTGCACAATTGTTGTATACATAGAGATCATCATTTTGCTAAATTTTATAGCAAAATATTAATTAGATCAAAATTTATCAACTTTAAAGAAAATTATAATTTTCGCATGTATTCACACTCACATACAATTTCGGGAATCTCCTTCGTACGAACAATTTCATTGCTGTATCAGGTGGTTAAGGTTCGGTGCGTTGTCTCCATCAAAGCGATCGCCCGATCATCACCTCATAGGGTCCAACGGCCGGAACCAACCCATCGGCACATAATAGTCATGAATATGGGTTGAAGTTCAAGGATAGAAGAGAAGAGCCAAAACGATCACTATCCTCAGACTCTTGCCACTGGACGAATCGTCAGTGACGTCGACCTTGTAAGGGCGTTGATTCCGTTAGACCTGGACTATCCAATGGTAGGCTATAGATTGAGATCTCGTCAGGCATACTCCGATTTCATGCCGAAGAGACAAGCCATTTCATTTGACAGATTGCTGTTCTTGTGCACTCGTATGAGAACCGTTACAGAGAATCCGTAGAACCGTAACATATTCTACGGATTTTCTTAGAAACAAGGCTACGGCATTTTTATCGTGTTTAATTTTTATCCCGTTTAATTTCGCAATTTATTATTTTATAAAATGAAAACGAATGAACAGTTATTACATCGTCGTAATAATAGATTGCCTGGATCGCATTTTGGAATTTAGTCACGTAATTTTTTGAAAAATCGAGATTTGCCATAACTTCATTATCTTTTAAACTTGCTTTGCGACTTTTTACAAATTCATTCTAGCTGGTTACAACATAATCATACATTCCAAATGAATCCATAAACAGTGATTTTAATTGTTGAACAAAGTCCTCTCTTGATAATACAACATCCATAAGTTTAAGAATGTAATATAAGTAATTGAATTATCTATAAAATAACCAAGTAATAACCAAGCAAAAATATTGAAGCCATGGCATTCCCAACATGCATTAAATCTGCACGCTTCGGTTACATCATCGCATAATGAATGTTCAAAAATTACATAAGTATTATGAAATCCTTTTAAATTATTAATTAAAATGCGATCTTTTGGCTGAAAAGTATAAAATGAGGAGAATTAGCCTATTTCAACGTTGATATTTTGATTCTTAAAAAGTGCGAGAGCTTCATACGACGCATAAAGCAGTAACAAAAGTTCATAAGTCACTTTTATGTAACTCTGTTATTATTATTTAATAATCACACTTTTAACGGAAAAATGTTATAAATTTTATAACATTAAATTCATGTTAGATCATAATTTGTACTATACATAAATAGCTTTTAAATACTATTACGGCTTTAAAAATCACTTTATAATTTTTAAAGTTATAAAAGTAATAGCTTCTATAAGTTTAACGAGACAGACCGATGTAAAAAACCCTAAGACTAGGTAAAAAGTTCTTTCATAGTGACTACGGTCCAGCGCCGAGAGTCCGAACGCTGGGCTCGCTTGCTACCGCACGGCAGAGCGTCTTCTATATCACATGTTTCCTTATGTCGGGCACTTGAATTTTATAACGGTTTTTATAGAAAAAATCCTCAGAAATACATAGAAGTAAGAATTAAAAAAAAATAAAACTACTGTTTTAAATATTTGAATTCGTTTAAAAAAAACATTAATAATTTGTTTTAATAAAAAGTTATCGTTTATCGTTGCAAATATTTTCAAAGCTCAAGATTTTACATGTATTTTAAAAATGATTGGTCCTTATATCTTTATTAGTTTCTAAAATATAGCCTTTTAAAAAACTTTTATCATTTTTTTAAAGTTGATAATTTTTGATCTAATTAATATTTTATTATAAAAGTCTAGCAAAATGATGATCTATATATATAGCAATTGTGCAAAGTTTGAAAAAATCTGTCACCCAGTGTTACTGAACTGACTGAAATAGTTAAGAATTACTCATACCTGTACGTTCCGCCATGAAAACTACTGCGACGCTGTTTTCCGACACACTGTCGACGTATCTGCATGTACGCAATCTTCCACCACACTACCTATCTTATGAATAACAAATACACACGAAAGCTCTCATCAAGTTACTTAATTCATACTCGAATTTGTCGAAGTAACACTTAATACGGAGAACTGTTACATGTAAGCTTTATAAGTTTCTGAAAAAGTAATGCAAAAATGTCCATGAAAGCGAGCTTTCGTTCATTTTCAATATTTACAATATAATGACAGCGTCGCCTGGTTTCGTCTTACATTCCCTGTATTTCTTTTCCACGTTTAGTGTTCGGCGAAAGCTCGTTAATTTTTGCTCAACTTTTTTGTAATCAACGCGATACGTACACGCCAATCTATTTTCTCGGCAATGTAAAATACTTCTTTACAAAAATAGCCGCGAGCGTATTCGTGAAAGAACATGTAAAATTGAACTCAAAGGTACGTACGTTTTATTTCCGTCGCTCGAGCTTCGTTAGTACACAGACAGTCTTTTAGAATTCGACAATGAATTATACAGTACATTAAGACTTACTGTTGAAGCTCTTTTACTTCAGAAGAACGTTTTTTCTTTTAGATTTTTATTTCTGTCTCGTGCATTGAACTCAAAGTAGAAAATAGAAATTATGTGTACAGAAATTATTTCACATTGAAAGAGCAAAATAAAGATAGAAATAAACTTCGATGTTACGTAGAGAGTAAGTAATGAATACACGTAACGTACTTACAAAATAAGAATGATATTTCAATTTAATTGCGTGCAACATAGATTGTAAATGATTAATATGTTTCGAAAACATTGTACATAGTCGACATATTTTTTATCTTTTTCATATTCACAGTATTAAAAGACTGTTTTGTATGGCACATTAAAACGACACATCGGTACGGTTATGAAAGACTTATTCCGAACGTTCAATCATTCGATCCTTCACTGCTAGGAGCATTGATAAATAACCGACTGAAGTTTTCAATATCTAAAATGTAAAATTATTAAGTTAAGTTCTACACGAAGTTCCTTATATAAAACATTTTTAACTAGCACTTACTCGGCAATATAATTTTAATGAAAACGATACAAATTTGCCTGCAGTGATTTCAAAAGGATGTTGCGCTCGAGTTATCAAAAGAACAAGTAGTTTTGCTTCTCGTGCTGGCAATATCGTCCAATCGCTATCGTAAACTGCATAACTGATTTCAACGCTCTATGAAACATCAATTCAATATTCAAGTGAAAGTTACTACTACTACAAACAAATGTTAGTTTCGTTAATCTTATATAGTCAATTTTACCTTTCGTCTTAATATTTCTGTGACGTAGCAGTAAGTAAATAAAGTGAATAAGAATAAAACGAGAAAATATGTCATGAATATTAAGTCCATTACAGATATGCATTCTGCACCAGTGATCTATAATGACATCATAAATTTAATTCTTGGTAATAAAATTTAGTTCTGTTATCGTTCGTAGTTACCATTATGAGCTGGAATCCTTGAGCACACAACCCAAAAATACAAGGGACTAACTGTATCAAAAACATCATGTTGAATGACTGTTCGATTGCTGATGAGAACCTGTTAGTTTTTTTAAGATAATGCGAAAATATATTACTCATAAAAGAATATTAAATTAAGAAAAACTATTATTGTTAAACTACTCTTTGAAAGATTTATTTAACAAATTATATGCGATGCACATTCAATATCATTACCAAAACATTTTCAAACATGCTTAGCAAGAATCTTTATAAATTGAAAAGTACATCTACTTAACGCTTAGTATTGACTTGAATAAAAATTTTGAAAATACGATTGTTAGTTGAAAAATCTTCTTACCTCCATAATCTAGTATGCATAGAATGAACAAAATCAAACTGGTCCATAAATTGTCTCCTATCATCCTCGTTTTGTATCTGTCGCGATAAATCGTATATTGTCAACTTGAGTATTGATAATTGACCGATCAAATGAAACATCAAAATAACGAAAAACGAATCAGCAGATGAAAATGAAGTAGATGCAAACACATTAGACATGAATTGGCCAAGCATTGTTAGTTCGTAATATATACTCATTTGTGTGTCATAAGGAAACCAGCCCATCATGTACAATGGCCACTCTACGCTTTTGTTAGCAATTGATTTTCCCATTATGTAAGCAGCAGGTCCTAAAAAACCAACGATACACTGTGCCACTAAGGTACTTTCTGTCATGAAAAGGCAGCCTATTGTGAAAAATCGACTGATTTTTGCATTTTTCCACATGATGGTCAATTCGTGGCTCGTGTGTGGCATTTTCCAGTCTTCGATTATTTGACGTAACAAATCTTTAAGTACTTCATCATAAAATTTATAAAGATCTCGATTAAGCTTTTATAAGAGGTTTAAACTTATTTAAAATGTAATAGAATCTCGACATAGATGGTATATGAACGTAAAAAACATGGTAACGCTATAATTCTATAACTTTATATTTTTGCTTTGTAGAGCATCTCATTTTCCAAATTTCACAACATAAAATATCAAAATTCTATTGTACTTAAACAAAATAATAAAATCAAGCTTTTACCGTATCTATGATACCAAATACTAATAATTTTCACCATAGCAATAGTAGTTGGAATATCGCAATTGGAAAGAATTTCAATAATTACATTCAAGTTCTTATATGACATCAGAAGCTTGATCGTTTGCGATAGAGTAGCAAACAGAAACATCGTTAACGTTGCAATCAGAATTCTGGTATTTGATGTCCAATTACTATCGTGGTAAGGATCTGGCCAGGCACCAAGAAAACACAAAAATAATCGACACGAGCCAACAGCGTAATCGTAGCCTAATCGTACATTCAAAATTTATATTTCACAATTTTCATTTTATGTTTATACAATCCATTACCATCGACGTTAACGTTCGTTGAAAATCTTTTTCTTGAATCCACTTTCATAATACTAATGTCCTCTATAAACACTATCCAGTAATTACGTTAACGAGGGAGGCCAACCGCGTACTGGCGATGGTAAACTTTTTTTTGTTACGCGGAAACGACACTTGCCTCGCTTGCCTTATGAATCTTTAACGTGGGCTTCTATTTTCTCGTCCGAAACCATGATTCTTGCACAACTCTCGTACGTTATTTGAGCTTCGTTACTCAGAATCAGTGTAAAGACGAGAAATTTTTTTCTACGTTTGCGTAAATACGTCGATATAATATTCAAACGGTTGATCAAAAATGTCATCCGCTTCTTATGTCAAAAGGAGACATGCGTGGTAACATTTAGAGAAGAACATTCTCTGTGGTATTATCAAGTTGTAAACATCGGAGGTTCATTGTAAAGAGTACTTATATAAAAAGAATGGAAAACATACATTACGGTAATATGTAATTTTTATAAATAATCGACTGAAGTTTTCATTATCTAAAACGTAAAATTATTGAGTTACGTAAAAATATCTTGTATCGTAAATCTTGATTTGTAAATGAAATTTATGAGTTCAGAAGATAAATCTGTCGATTCATAGAAATGTTAATAACAATATGGAAATACAAAACATATGTACTTGTGTAAGTAAATCTTTCAATCATATTTATCAATTAGTGATTAAATCACATGCATCCAAGTTTAAATTATTTCTGCTCATAATTCTCTAACTTTATTGATATAATAAAAATATGTTTTATTTGAAAATGAAATCGTTTGTGTAAATATGATAATGGATAGAAGTAACCATTAAACGAGTTAATCATTTATTAAAATTAATTTTATTTCTCTAATCAATTGTATCAATTAATTTGCTTTAAATTTTCTCTCACAGCCAAAAACATCGATATATATCCAGTGGCAACTTTGATAATCTACAAAAAATGAAAATGAATGAACAGTATTAACAAACTATATTTAAAGTAAATTTTCTTTCTTTACAGCTCTGAACAGGTTCATCAAATAAAAAGGAAAGACTTCCTGCAGTTATCTTTAATGTCTGGTTGATTAAAACTAAAGGAATGATGAGTAATCTGGTTTTTTTAGCAGGTAATTGCAGTAAACAATTGTTTGGCCTAATTTATCTACCTGTGATGTGATGAAAAAAGTATGAAAAAATGTACCGCGACAATAAAACTATAGTGAATTTTGTCTCATCCTATAAAACTTTCGCCGTATAGCAGTATACAAATATGCTGAAGATGAACCACACAGTGTAATCAAGCATGAAAATTACTTTTATTAGCGCAATATTTCCTTCTGTTAATATTTAGTAACGAAATTAACTACTATGAATTACAAACAACTTTAAGTTTTTAAGTATAAAGTTAGTACCTCAAAGGAGTAACCTTGCAAGCATAAAAATACTATAAAAGAGCCAACTAGAAACATTATATTGAAACTACGAGTATATTCTATAGTTCCTGCAAATCTAATGATATTGAATAGTTTCATATAGAAACACATTTCTTTATTACATAAGTAAGTATTCGTATTATCTTTGAAAATAGTAAATACTATTGATTGATTTTTTCATGTCGACCAATAAGGACCGCAAAGGTTTTCACAGATCAAAATGTATTAGCCTTAATTTTTTATGCTCAAACTTGTTCTTCAATCTTCAATAGTTCTGTCTACTATATTGTATGAATATAAAATTTAAAAAAAGTTAGGTAATAGGTTTTTTGTAAAAAAAGATAATCACGAAGGCAGGAAGAATGTATATGTAATACGTAATTTTTGAATCCTCACGAATAGTTGAGTGACACTGAGAGCAGTGTCGAAACATATTCTTTCCATATATATGTATATACAAGTTTCAGTTGATAAATAAGATAAATATTTCGATTCGCATTGAAATTTGATCTAACAATACTCCGTTTCTGTTATCAAATGTTTCAGACGATGATATTTCCCTTGTGATTGATTTTACAATATCTCATTCGTAATATAAATTTTATATTTGCAAAATGACATTTAAAAAGAAGCTTCTCAAATCATACTTATGATGAAAGAAAAAAAACTACGAAATGTTTTAAGCAACTGAGTATACAAATTATTTGGCTTTTTTGTTTAAACCCGTGCTAAACATTTTTTATCGTTGTTTATATTTTTTTTCTCTTTTTGATTTTTCCTTTCTTTCTACTCATCATTGCACAGAAATGTTTATGGGCAACTAAGAGATCTACAGAATCAATGTACGATCGCTCTATTCGATATAAAAGAAAGCAATAGAAACAATTACAGCAATCCTAGAAAAATATATGAAATAACAATGCAGATTTCTTTGAAAATCAACGTACAAACGTACAAAGCTTTTCATATATAGATAAGGCATGATATCAGCAATAATGTAATTTTTTCTTGATATTTTGATCGGTTTAATTTTCTGCTCAGAAAATATTTCGTAAGACATACAGTTTTTACTAGTTTTCTCATTAATATTTTACGATACTCGTCGATTTGCTTAACTGCATCATAGCAAATATCACTATACTCGAAGATATTTTGAAGTATACTGCCATAAATGCATTTTTTTGGAATGCGAATAGTTTGACTTTAATTTTTATCTGAATCATGTATTTGAATATCTTTGTCCAGATAGTATTTGTTTGTGAAATGAATAGAATATTTTTTAAAAACAAGACAATATTAATCGTGATCTTCCGGAAAAAGTTTTCGATAGATACTTTAGATAAGATCTATTATTATTTCCATCTAGCCTATGTTTACAGATAATAATCTTATATATGATATCGCATGTCACAGTTAAAATTAAATTACGTGCTGTACATATATTTGAAAGGTTTTTTCGTTTGACGTAGTATACTGGGAAATTAAATTTTATACTTATGTACTTGTTTCTTGAAAATATTTTCTGGACACAGATACGTGAAAACATAATCTGATTTCCGTTATGTCATAACGATATAACTGTCATATTTTTACTTTGCAACATGTTTCGTTGCTCATTTATCAAGACTTTTATGTTTCGTCAATGTCAATTTTTCTCTCTTAGCAAGAAGCACAAATATCTACTCAGCTGCACTTTTGACAACCTACATAAATGCTATTTTCATCAAAAGAAATTAAATTTCCTTATCAAATATTTCACTTATAATGCAGAATAATTCTAAGAAGAGCATGAAAAACTCGCTAATTACCATTTTCAACTGTCTACTGACTCGTGTCAATGGGATTATGAAGTTGCACACTAGTTTTGCTTGTGAATGAAAAACTATTGAGTTGATAAATTTTATTTTGTATTTAATTTAAAAACAATATATAGAATTAACAATAGATGATAATAAGAGAATCATATTATAACGTAAAATTAATAATGATATATACACTAGTTTAACAGAAGTACGTATTTCAAGTTAAGCACGAAACAACATGTAGAGGAATAGTTAAACATATAACGCGTACTTTTAACTTAAAAGATTCTGCGTTTGTGCTCGATACATAATAGATAATGGTAAATAATAAAATTAATTTACTTAAATTATCACGATGTATAGACATCGTTCTGACTGTTTTACTGATTTTAAATAGAAGATATTATGTAGAACAAGAAATGTCTCGCTCATCTTTAGCACGTGAAGAGCATCTATGTACAGGTGTGACGTTGAGCTCGTACATTTTCATTTCGCAGTCTTAGCCCTTTCAGGAACGAATGAAAAAACCTAAAAATAAATAAATATGTACGAATGGAAATCTATGCAGTATTTAAAACTACACCTGTATCATGCAATATGCCGTGAGAATTAAAAATCTAAGTTTCTTTTAAAAATAAATGTGCGTTCAACGCTCGGCGAACTTTCCAAATTTCATTTTCCCATGCAAAATAAAGAAAAAAGCGCGCTTTCTAAGTTGGAAAAGTCTGCCCGCAGCAAAAGCGCGTAAGAATGAGAGCCAGCAAAAAGAATCGAATTTTCAACGACGACAGTGACGATTTCACGTTCGACGTCGCCGGTCATCCCATCAAACTCACGCCGAGCAAATAGAAAGTGCGTCGCCGTGCACGCGAATTAGAAACCTCAGCGGCAAAAAAAGCTGCACATGCGATTATCCCCGTTAGCCAAAATAGCCACTTACAGTCAAGCACTTGCTCAAAAGAAAACGTTGGCTGGCCTCGCCTGGGGACACGAGAATACCGAGCAGTCGTGGCGTCTTACCGCCTCCATCACCTCGTCAAAATGACTTGACACCTGGACAGCTGCTACTGGTTGTATCCTACGGACAAATTTTCAAACGCATAAGTCAATCATCATAATAGAGAACAAATACTAGCTTCATATATGATACGTATAGTTAAGATCAATTTACATTATCGGATATCCTAAAATCCATATACGAGGTGACGTTTTAGAATCGTGTGAAACATCGTCTGACCTATTAACTATCGCAATCAATCAAAATATACATCTCAGCTGTGATGCAGAAATTGGTTGTACAAGCAAAAGTTTCAAGTACTTGTTAATTCGAAAGTTAGTTATCACACTTGATAAATAGTAATTTAAATAGACTGAAAAGAATTAACCGCGACGTTAATCGCTACGTGCCTTTCTCTTGATGAGCTCGAGTAACGTTCTCACAAATCATTCTCCCTATAATTAAGTAATCCATTGTCCTTATAATTGCTACTATGCTATCTTCTTCATGCGAGATAACTACTAGTTATAACGAGCAAAAAAAATTCATCAATTTGCTGCGAACGACTCATTGCGTCGCACTCATCTTTTTCCAGATTCTACAAATGCAACAACGTCATTTATATAATGCTTTTCTTTTCAGTACAGCAGCGAAAAGAAAGAACGGTAGTTGACCCGAATGCCCAGCTTGTTCATAAATGTATTTTACATTGAAATGATTCATCTGTAATTTCGCAGTTGTCTTTGCTTACCCGCACGTGAAAGCTCATGTTTTTCTCATAAAAACGGACCGACTTGCTTGGTTAAACTTCATTGGACGATTAAGAAGAAAAGACCAATTGCTTTTCAATCGCGATTGAATTTTCATAGAAAGACAATAAGAAAGTGCATTTACGATTGCTCTTGACTCTTTCAAGGCGCTCCCCTTTAATCTATACTGGTATGCACTCCCCACGATGAACGGTTCCGTTCGTGGGCTTTCCCCCCCTTTTTTGCGATCATTTTAATAATAAATGCGAAATATTTTCTATTACTATACGTTCCAATTCAAGAAAAAAGTATAATTTATTCATAAGTAACTTAATCCCAGATGTTCTCTCAAAAAATCACCAGTAAAGTCCTCGTTCTAATTAAAAAACGAAGCGACATCTAATTCGTTCGGCCTACATATTATACAGCAATTTCCATGAACAGGCGTGTAAAAGTTAGTGAAAAAAATCGATTTCCAGGTCGTATCATATATCGACATGCTTGTCGCGAGTTTGCCTTTCACGCTTTGACAATTTGCTTGTAAGTTGTGTATTTTGAACGTTGCCGGCTTTCTCTGGACTAACGATAAGTTACTTTTTTAGAAAAGAGATGGCTTCATTTGAAATTATATGTTGCGGTGGACTTTCCGCTAATGAAACTTAAATTCATCCAAAATACAACAGACTTCGACATTTGCAGATGAACGTTCAACAGCTTTGCATTTGATTTTATCTCAATCAAATAATTTACTCTTTCATCAATCTCACAAATCGTTCGCGTAATTGAATTATATCTAGATCCACGACAAAAAGTCAAATGAACTGAATTCATTACACGCGATCAAAGAAGCGCTAAATAGAGAAATGCAAAAAGAAAAAAATATTGAGTATGCAAGAAATGAAGTCGGTGCGTGCGCACGGAAGGAGTTTCGTTTTCACGCGCGGCCAAACAGCTGTGTGCATATCAATTAGTTTGTCCGGGGATGGCTTTTCCTTCAGCTGTATCTTGTCGGCTCGCGAGCGAGTGAAAACTGTGCTAATTCTGAGAGAGGTAAAAGTCGCTATGAGTGCGCGCGAGTATCAGTCAGTGGGACAATGACGACGCGAAGCGCGCGCGCGTACACACTCGGCGAAAGCCGTGCGCGCAGGGCGAACACGCACGAGAGGAAAGTTATCCGAGCGGCATTCTTCCTTCGCCTTCTACGATGACTATGTTTTCCACTGTTGTTGTTGTTGGCTGTTGTTGTTTTAGATCAAGTTTAGCAATTACCAATGAGTCTTAGAGATGCCTTTTTGGATTCTTAAAGATCGACGTATGTTTTCGAATTGTTGTAGGTGAGAAATGCAAGACGAAAAATATAAGTGTTGTAAACAGAATCTTGCACGTTTGAAATATAACACTAAAGAAAATTATTCAAAATTACAAGTCTAAGAAAATTAACATCGTAAGAATAAAAAGAAATTCAAATTGTATGTAAAATGCGCAAAATTGGTCGAAAATGATGGCAAGAAGGGAAAAAAACCCGCGAACGAAACCGTTCATCGTGGAGAGTATATATCAGCGTAGATTAAAGGAGAGCGCGCCGAAAAAACCAAGAACAGGTTTGTTTTATCGCGAACGAGCCGAAAAAATTTTACAAGAGGATCCTCCCGTCCCACGTGATTAACGGGTATAAACTGTCAAAGCCAATTTATTGGAAAAAAGCTAGACTACAAAAGTAAAACAAAAACAATTGTTCGTAATATATTTTATCACGAGAAAAGTCGAAATGTTAATAAAATGATTAATTTTTACTTTCGAAGGTAGAATGTAATATGTCTGTCAGGTCTCAATAATACTAATATTAACAGACAAAAAATTATATACTCACATCCTAAGCAGTCCAGACATCTTCTTCTCCATAAACATATAAACATCTGATCCACGTTTGACCATAGCGTCACAAAATATTCGCTTAGCACAGGGTGTATTCGTCCAATCACCAGGTATGTGACTGACTTCTGCAATTTCAGCATTCTCCAAATTCTGTAACGCGTCTTCCAACTCAGTATCGCTCAAACTTCGTTTTCGCCGCCTTGTTCTTGTCTCTGATTCCTTATTTTCGGTTAACTAAAGTAGATTTTACATGTTTAGTTGGTAAATTCAGATAAGTGAATACCTAAAAAATTCTTCACTAATTTCAAAGTGTTAGTTTTTATCTCATGCATGCTCTAATTAAATGAATCGTAAGTTGATAAGCAATGGAAATCACAATCGCAATTAAAACTAAATACTTATTTCTTTACCTGGCTTTTGATTTGTTCTGATTTGGTGATAGCTTCAAAAGTATGCCGGACAATGGCCTTGGCGAAATCATCCTCGTTTTGGATTTGCACGTCATTGCCCTTGTCGTTCGTTGTATCATTGACCGATCGCAGTGGTAAGTCGATTTCTACGATTTCCGCTATTTGATCGGCACCTTTACGTTGCATTTGCCTACATTTACGAATGAGATTTTCGCACATCAATCTATGGTTCTCTCTCTCTCTCTCTCTCTCTCTCTCTCTCTCTCTCTCTCTCTCTGACTTTCATGCTTTAATGGCTTTTAAGTAGGCGTAGCTTTTTTACGAAAATCGTGTCAATGTATTTGATTGAGCCAAACATCATTAAATATTTTTAAATTATTTTTAACTAACGTTTTCGATAATAAATTATAGAATAATTTTATGAAGTAAAACTATTATCTGCTTTATATATTTTTAAACTGTAATCACGTTAATTTTTGAACTGTAGTAATGGCATCAATTATATTATTGATCAACAGTTAAAATAAAAAATTTCAGATATTATAGGTTAATAATTCAACTAATAAAATTGTTTACCTCTCATCAGTTACACTTCTCTTTCTTCTCGCAGCATTATCTCTTGCAGAATTTTGCTGCATCAATACGTAAATATCATCACCAACATTGTACTGTCTCTCACCCGTCGGCACACGGTTATCCTGTTCTAGTTGCCGAATAATATTCAATGCCCGTGCTTTCTCTTCGCCATCGATAACCTGAACAGTTCCATCACTTGATCTCTTGAGAACATCAACGTCGAGATAACGGCCTACAGCAACAGCACCGATACCTAAAGCTGCACCACTGGCCATGAGTCCTAAGGCTGGAATAAGAACTGAAGTTCCGGTACTAGCAACTGTACCGACTTTGTCTTGTGCAGAATCTTGTGAACGTGGATTTGACAATCCGAGGTTCTCCGAGATCTTACGAGTGGCTTCGACAAGCGGATCGATCACTGGTTTCGTGTATTCCGATACCTACAAGGATACATTTATGAATTTGAATAGTTCGCTGACCATCGAGATAAATCGATTTAAGCCCTTACCTTAGCAACACCATCAGAGAATCCAGACTTGATGTTCTCGGAGATTCTTATCCACAATGGCGGTTCGACGATAGGCCTCTTCAATCCGTAAAATTGGTTAGCCGGATAGTAATTCTTGTAATTGGTGTACGAGTCGACGATATTCTTGTCGTTTAGCACGTATTTCTTCTTCTGTCTATACTCGCCGTTATGATGGCCTGGTGTCTGGTAAGTATTTTGATACTGATGATGTCTCATGGTGCCTTCATTTTTCATCAATGCTTCTTCATTGTGCTTTTTCTTGTCATTTTTCACAATCTTTGCGGGTTGTACTCCTAATTCGGGATGAGCATATTGCAAAACTGGAGCTCGCGTTCCGGGCTTGACACTAGGTACTGGTGAATCAGACGGTGTATACATTCGGGAATTTGGATAGTTGGCTGGGAGTTCTGGCTGAAGCATACGTTTGCGACTACTTGGCCGGTAGCTTTCTTCGGCTGACTCGTAGATTTCAGCGGCTAGTACTTCGTTGTGATAGGATTTTGCTGCTTCCGATTTATCGTCTGGCGCTTTGCCGTATCTATGAACAAACAATCATATGAGAAAAAAAAACCAAAGATCAATCAATCTTTCTTTGCGTGTCTGACACAAAAATCGATTCTCGAAGTCATAATGACTGCGTCTGATTGAGTGAAGCGCTGCGCCGATGAAAAATATGCCTGCTATAGCGTGCTGCGTAATGTGAAAGTCATTACCGACGTATAAGGAAGCATGCTTTTGTGAAATGTAAATATAGCGTGCTTCAAGCTTACCTAAGTTAATTTCCTAGATTGAAAAAGAAAATAAATCCGGTGCAGTGTAAATAACTTGTTTGAGATTACTTTTGCCTTCGATGTAATTATGTTGTAAAATCGCAGTGGAAAACGGGACAAGAGTTAGAATGCAATGATATGACACATTTACGTGAACTGCAGCATGCACGATAGTACTATGAATAGCCGAGACTTTCCGTTGTATGCGCGGCTTTGGGTCAACTAAAAATTTTTCGTGCGGCCAATTTTATTTTCTCCTGAAAATGATGCCGTTGTTAACTCGGCTAACATCCGTAATCTGTCTTAGTCGAAACTTGTTAGAAAACCATTTACGTGATAATTATGTATATATGCGTTTCAATGCGTGACTTCTAAATGGCTACAAGAAAAACTAATGTCTCGCGATGCAAGTGTAGCTATATACAGTTGAAATTTCGAACGGCAATACTAGTTCGTATATTGGATAGATTAATCTTTTTTCCAGTAACGTTGAGAAAAACGAAATGACGAGAAATTTCCACACTCGAGCAGTTAACTTTGAAAATTGATGTTGGAACAACATTCAACTCTGACGAATTCCACGAATTCCTAAATTAACGATACGAGCGGGACGGTAAGCTGCTGTATCCTAAAAACTCGTGTCATGTTTCGGTTATTTACTGCAAGAATTATGCTTATTTGTGCAACTTTTAAAACTTGTCTGTTGCACTTTTAAACTATTATCAGTTAAAAATGCAAATCTTTAGAGAACCTTAAAAAACGGCACTTAAGAAAATACGCATTTAAATAAAAAAAAATGGATAACTGAAAGATTTATCAGTTTTTTTATTTAATTTTTCGTATGAGAGTTTTTAAGTGAAAAACAAAATTACTTGAATTATACATCGACAGACATATTTCAAAATTTCCTATTACTAAATCTTAAAATCTAATTAATGCTTGAGATCATACCATTAAGTTGAATATCTTCAATTTTTAGTAGGAATTATAAAGTTCAAAGAATACTGTTCTACCATAAAGGAAAACCAAGGTAGCTTCGGAATAATCGGCCGACACGTGGTGCAATTGAAAGCTAACAGCATGTCGTATAAAATCCCACCAATCAAGCATCATACACAACTTTCACTTACCTCTTATTGACATCCTCGAAGAATCGCTCAAAGTTCTGCTGTTCGGTAGCAATCAGTTCTCTGGTACTTGTAGTTGTCTCAGTAACCAGGTGATCATTGATAACTCTTGCATTTCTCCACACTTGAATCTTATCAATTGGCTCGTCGGGAACGCGTCTACCATGAACAACAGGTGTGCCGTCAGGGTCGATAGTCAATCGTTTGGATTGTAAGGATGGTTGTGATTTAACGTTCAATTCTGATCTGATAATAATCTCAGCTGGTACATTCTTGGCATCTCGATTTTTCATCAAATTCGCACCAATATTGGTGCGTTTCGGTGGCTCGTGTGGCAAGAAAGCGTAACGTACTATTTGCTCGTCACCTTGGTCGGCCGGTTGGCTTTGAAAGCTTCGCCATTGCGTGGTAGCTGGTTGCTCTACAGGTTTCCATGAATCGAAACTACGACTAACTGGAACCCAACTTTTGGACTCTTCATTACTGTTATCCGATACGCTACTCCATGTTTGCAAACGACTCCATGGATCGATATTAACGTTTTTGTAATCGGTACTCGAACTCACTGGACTGCTTGTCGTCGTCGTCGTCGTCGTTGTAATTGGTTCAACTGATTTTGTTGTCGTAGTCGATACTTGGCTCAAACCACTCGACACAGACTTCTCTCGACGTTTGACTATTAAAGTCGCCAAGTTACCCTTGCTAGTGCGTATTTTCAATTCCTCCGTTTCGCCTGGCAAGCTACGCGACACTTTTAGCATGGTACGCGCGTAACTTGGCTTGGGCAATTCGCCGGCCGGTGTTGTTGGTGAACCACTTGTTGCTACTGATGCCGCTGACAGCAGCGCAAGTGCTAATAGTACCTGTGAAATGGAAAGAAAGAACGCGTGTGTTTGCTTCTTATGATATACATTCGTATGATAGTTGGAGCGAACAAAAGTCATTAAAATTATTATCGTATATAGATCGAATAAATCCAAAATTCAATTCACAATACAACAAGCAATGCTTGCGATCTATATACATGTTAATGTTTCAAATATGCATATAACAAAATTCATTAGCGCCATAGAAAATATCAGTAAGTTATCATCCTTAAAAGAAACCTTTTTCACGGGTGCATTATTATTGTAATCATAGTCTACACAAAGGCTGTATTACAAGATTTACGTTCCAGAAAATATTGCTTAAAGCTGTATAATTGGCAATGATGACGGCAGCCGATCTACTTCCCCTAATTTTCGCTGTCACCTCTATCGCTCTCATTTACGATTGTGTCTTAGCCAATGAGTCGCGGAAAAGTTATAATACGCACCTTCATTATTATCAGCCAATAAAAGGGTTTATGTTTGTTTCGCGAAAAATAAAATTTCTTTTTTCAATGAGAAGACTTCTTCTGGTAGCTAACGGCTACGACAGCAGCATCGCGGCGCACACAACACCTGTTGACTCCCGGAACAGCCTGGCAAGACTGACTGTCGGCTCGGAGCAAACTTGGCTTCTCGTGCTGGCTCGACCTACTTCCTTCTCTCTCTTTCTCTCTCTCTCTCTCTCTCTCTCTCTCTCTCTCTCTCTCTCTCTCTCTCTCTCTCTCTCTCGCTTACACTGAGTGCACGCTACCGCTTCTTACATATTATGCACACACGCATACACTCGGCTCTGTTTATTGTACTTTCAATGAACGGATGAGCCTATAACGATTCTAATGTCGCCACTCCACAACTTAAGCATTTTTTTTCGATAGGAGAGGCTGATGCGCGGAAATGTTTTGTCATGCGTTGCGTCAGGTTAAACTGCCTATTTTTGTTGCTTCCCCCGGTGAAATGCGCTTGTTACGGGACTTTTTATTGTTATGTCGGGCGCTTTATTGTCCTGTCATTGTAGGAAGTGCAATGCGTGCGATTCCATAGAGTAGGATGTTTATAGAACGTAGCTCATAGAATGTACTACGGAACTTGAAAAACAGCGTTGCAATGTTCAATTGACAGAATAACTTTTGTTCGAAGTTCGTTTGTTTTTCAACTTTTTTAGTTCACTTCACCCGTACGTTCGTTATCTTATCTGCAAAAAATAGCAAAACTTTTGCGCATACGCGAAAGAAACTCCAATTATATACTTCAAAAGAAGCATTAGGTGTCTTGGTTAAATCCGCGTTCTTTAAAAGACGATAAATATATTAAGTGATATTCACACACTTGATAATAAGTGGTATCAAAGCATTTCAAAGCTCATTTCTATTGAAATGAGAAATAGTGCACCACGTGCAGTAGCGTTTATCTATGCGAGAATATATGGACACGGAGTGTCAAGCTAAACCATCTATAGTATTTCACTTCTACTTTCTTTCTCGAGTGTCCCGTTCGACACGCGCGGACACTTTCGAGCTTGAAATCCGATTCGGGTCGCTATGAATGAATTCATTCATTTTTCTTTTGGTATTCGATGAGAATTTCGAAAATGTGACAAAGATTTTGGACATTGTATGTACGCGTTTTAGAATTTTCAAAAGAATTGTCGATAAAATATTTTAAATATTATTCATATTTTTTGAAGACCTTGTAAAATTGTAGAATTGAGCCGTGAATGTCTCTAACTAGTACGGTTTTACCTATTATTACCTACGTATTAGGTAGATTTGTAAAGATACGCGAGAGATATCATTTGTTTTTCTTTATTTCGACTTCGTAAAAATCCACATCATCTTTCATCCTTATTTCACTTAAAAGAAAGTAATTAGGAATACCCAAGTGTTATACATCCATTCGACAAAATACTTGGCGAAAAGGTATTTTCACCACTGATAGAAAATACAACAGCCATAGAACGACGAGGAAGTATTAAAACGATAAGACTTAGGTGAAACCGCTCGGACGTCACGGAAACTCATCGCGAGCGCGCGCGAACTCTCGACACGAGCGACGCCGATCTGGTTCAGAATGGAAAGTGCAGTTGAGGCTTGCGAGATCCTAATTCGGCGCGCCTCTCTCTCTCTCTCTCTCTCTCTCTCTCTCTCTCTCTCTCTCTCTCTCTTTCGAGTATTATTTGCTGTGGTCGCGCATGACTTACAGCCAACGGGATCAAGGTCAACTGATATCTCACGCGAGGGAGACTCAATAGAACAGATGATTCTTTCTTTTTATTGTTCCTTCTCTTGTTGAAAAATACTGCTCGACTGCGTACAATTTGTTGCCCAAGAATGGACGAAGATTTTCTTTCTTACCTTAAATAGTAGACGTGACTAAGTACGGTCAGATGGCAGACTTTTTTATTTGTTTGTTAATGGATTTCTGCATTAGATATTCTTCGTGGCTTTAAATTGTATGGATATATGCTTGGTAGTAGTTATACTGACAATTTAAAATTAGCAAATATTACTACATAGAACGTATTTTTAATGATTATTCTAAAATGAATTGGTATCGATCGTGACTTACTGAATTTCATTATATAATAATAGTAATGTTCTTTGATTGCTTTGCTAGTTTCATTCAATTGCGCTCAGTTTGTATTATTTACCCATTCATTAGTTGATTGATTTTTTTAACAATATTTTCGTTTGTCACCCTTTTTTTCTGCAATAAGTAGCTTGAGTCAAATCACGGTCAAGTCAACCATCCATTACCCAAAACTTCAAAATTGCGAGGACAAAGTGATAGAATTACAACTCGTGAAAATTCTCCAAGTATTTGTTTTATTATCTAAATTAGTGTTTATCGATGATCTTCAAATTAAAAAGACAAATTCATACATCTCTGCATTGGTAATACCAGAAATTACTGTCATTCAAGATTTAAAAAATTCCATCCGTATTTGAAATTGAATCAAGCTATTTAGGTCGAATGTAATTTTTTTCTCATTTCTTTCTTTCATTTCATTTATGCAACGGGTATACAAGGTAAAGTTCAAGTGATGCATATACGCCAGCCGCCGCCCAAGTTGTCCCAAATTTATTCCTCTCACAGCATTATCGCTTTTCTCTTTCTTCGAAGAATTCACTTTCGAATGTGCTGAAAAAAAAAGTCATTCTCACATTGCAGTGTCTATCGAACGACTTTTTCATTACCTGATATAACTAATCAAGTAATAGGTAATCAATTATGAATACGATCTCATACTTTGTTACTGTTTTTTGCGTACACCGTCACATTTAATTTAAAATATTAGTTTTTCAATAACTTCCGAGAAACGTACATAGATGAACTCACTCATTGACTCATTTCCGGGCGCGTATGTCTGTGTGTATCTACATACATTCCCGAAAAGGATAAAGAGAGATAGTCGCGGCCCTTTTACCCAATGCACGCGCGCGTGCCAGGCCGAAACCACTAATTCCCACGTAGAGAAAGAAAGAGGAGGACTTTCACTTCTCTGAGTCGCCCGAAAGAAGATGAAAAAAAAGCGACGGAAAAAAATTTCACCGATAATATAATTATGTCGCAAACGCGCGACGAGACTGTGCGCTGTGTGCGGTCAACTGCCTTTAATATATATATATACATATACAGGTATGCTTATACACGCGATTAACTGAATTTCAAAAAAAGGGGGCTTTTTTCTGAGGCTTGTTTGATATGTTCGTCGATGTTCTGGCACAATTGTAATTAATATTTTAAAAGTGAGTTTAATATTTTGTAAATACATTTCAATGGAAAATAAAAGTAAGACTCAACGTTGAATTAAGAGTTTGCATATACCGTTGTTAACATAGAAATGCCGTGTAATCTTGATAAAAGCATTCAAAAAACGTTATTCTCGAATTGAATACCGAAACGTGCTCGACGATTAGAAGGCTAATACGTTGTGCGTGATCACAATGCAGAAAAGCCGCAGCGCACTTTCGTATTCATCTAACGGTGGTTTTTCAGATTGAATTTCGCGCCAGATTGTATATTTAAATAAAGCCAAATGAAACTCACGTGCTGCACGCGTTTTCTAAAAGACTTTTTCGCTAATATTCGGATGTGCGAGACTTTATTGTTGTTATTCAGATTAAAGGACGAATAAGCTTCCTCGTTACCAGCAAAATTTTCTATAAATTCTTTTTTTTTAAATTGTCCGCACCATAAGACATTCAAGGGTGTGCTTGAATCGAAGGTAAGGATTTATCTTGTTTATGTTATCTTTGGAAAAAGCGCTTACTAAACAGATATTTTGTAATAGCATGATAAAACAAATTCACGCGCTCCTATAAATTTCAGTATCCGTGTTTTAAAGAATAAAAATAGTAAAATTTTTAAAATTCAAAGACTAATTCAAAGTTTAATCACCTCGTTTCCCATTAGATAATCATCACATACAGTTACCCGCTTCAACGAAACAAATTACGTTTTCTTAAACAATGCTAATTAATTATACTTTCGCAGAAACAAGCGGAGGACTGTTATTTTGAAAATTTAATCAGCATTACTCCGGAAACCTCGTTACTTCAGCCTCCGAAAAATATATACGTCCAACGCACGCGAGTGCAAAAAATCAAAATAAAGAGACGGCAGATCTCGTTTGCATATCATTTCGCCTCCTTTTTTTTATTCTGCTTATCTCAAAGGTTACAGCAAGTAGGTTGTATATACATACACAACCTTCCGCGCAGCGAGCTAATCTTGTTGGTTAAAGTGTTCCGTGATTGCACGCGATTCCGTGACGTCTTAATTGAAGGAAAGTCGACGAAAAAGCGAAAAGTGTTTCTCTAATTGTTATTGTTTTGCCCGAATGCTCCAGTGGCTTGGTTCGTTTCTTTTTTTGATAGTGATTTCATTCGATAGGAAATCTCATGGGTTTTTTTAAATTGTTTGCTGTTTGATAACAACGATAAGTTCATAATCGCGCCATGTAAATACATTTGAATTGAGCGAGTTCTTATTCTCAATGACCTGAATGATCATTAAGTACGAAATAATGATGTATGCTTCGTGTAAGATTTTTTCTGACTTTTCTTGAAAATTCGAGGTGAAAGTCTAGAAATAAATTTGATGTGATTATATCGCGTAACGGTCAACTATAGGATGATTTCAAATACTATTGAATTACATAAAAGATAATTACGTACGAAGTTTGGAAAATTAATCCAAACGAGCGCACGCGATTGATGAAATATAGTATCGAGTTATAGGAAATCTGTATTTAAGTGTCGTCGTCAATACAAAAGTCAGTGAATCCTCTCAATGGAACAATAAGAAACTAATGGAATGTTGGAACTTGTATACCAACATAGTTTTTCTAGACACTCCTTGGAAACAATAAACCCACACAAATTCCTTTGCATTACAGCTGACAGCTGTATATTTTATTAATAATTTAATCAGAGAATTTTTTTAAAGGCAACATTTAAAAATTCCATCGTCGAAATCGTATCTTATACGCCAACTCACATCTTATTTAATCTTCGGTAGCAGTAACCTTGACATAATAATATTTTGTTTTGGAAGCGTTTGGTGTAAATTTCCAGGCTA